AAGATGTTGACTGCCCTCTCCACTCTTAATTCTGCACTGTCCAATTCCTCAAGCTAAAATTCTAATCAATGCAGTGCTGGAAACAAGCTTTTCCAAATAAATTCTGCCTACGGTAGAATCTGCAGCATCACTAGAAATGAGAGTGCCCGCCCACAGCAGAGAGGCAGCTCAGACCCACCTCTGGACCAGGAGAAACCTTGTAAGAGCAAGTTAAGCATACATTTACCTCCTCTACCTAGCTTTGCTTGCTCCCTCTCTTTTCGCTGTCAAATTGAAAACATTTCTGTCTGCCTTGCCAAAGCCAAGGCTTTAGCTGTTGTTTTTTTGTTTTTCTGTTTTCCTGAGCTATGAGGAAAGCCTCCAGGCTTCTCTGATGTAGCAATAACATCAAGTCTGTTCCAAGTTTGTTTTACCTTGGACATAAACAGTTTTTTTTTTTAACAAGTTCCCAATTCTACTGTCAGCATCCACACAACACCAGAGATTCTCATTTACAGAATACAAAATACTAAGGATTTTTGTACTTATATACTAGGTAGCACTTGAAGCTGTAACCCTTGTCTGATGCACACAGCTTATGACTTTCCTTCTCTGATTTTCCTGCGTGCAGTTACAGATACACAGGAAACTGTGAATGGACTTAAGAGAAACTAAAAGGAAAAAATATTGCCAGAGCAAGGACCGATCTCTTCTTTGTTAGAGCTATGGGAGGGGGAAAAAGGGGATACACACACACATATATTAACTGGAATGACAAGACAGAATTTTAAAACTAAAATAAATTCTGAAGCAGCATTTAAAGCAAATGTCACCTCTTGCTTTTAGCCTGGGAGGGCAGTGATGTACACAGGATGAAGAGCATGCTGTGTGACAAGGAGGATTCAGAGCAAGGTTGACTGGCAAAACAAGCGATGCATGACAGAAACATCGAATTGCTGAAACATCCCGCAATAGGGAAGAGAGTATCTCAAGAGCTATCTGAAGCACTTATTTGGCTCACCATACAAAAGCATGTTCTAGAAATAGCAACTTAAAAGCACTTTATCAAAATATAAAGCTGGGACAATGTAATTGACTATAATTCAGAGTCATTAAGAATTTATAGAAAGTGTTTTTTTTACAGCTGTCCCAAAGAACCAACAAAGTGTGGTGATTATCCAAGGGGAAAATAACATGACATACACAGCCTTGCCTTGCTGACTCTGCTGGAGATCACTTGCCTGGTGAGAGCTGGGAAGTGCCCAGAGGCCCCCTTCTGAAGAGGATACTGGGCTGTAAAACCCACCACTTAAACCACAAGGACACGCATATCTCTTGAAGATGTAGGCTCTTTCCAGATTTTGGTTTGTTAGAAGAACTTTCTGGAAAAAACCTGTTTTTTAGAATTGTTTCTTAAAAATAAAACCCAGTCAAAATCTCCATAAAATTGCTCTTTCTCAAAACCACCCTGTAACTACCCAGTACATCTAACAAAAGTAGTGAAAACTTTTCTAGGTTTAAGCATACAGGCAAAACCTAACAGAGGGCAATTTTGGGTGTGGAACTGGAAAAAAGAGTTAATTTATTTTTCCTTTTTTGAATTGTGCATTGATAACATCCCCTTCTTCCCTTAAAATCAATTTAGTAATTTTGACACAGTGCCTTACAGTACCAGGAGGTTTTTATTTTGTTTTGATTTTTTCCTTTTCTTTTTCAATGGCAACCAGAATCCATCCACTGGGGTCTCTCTTTAATAGGGGATTTCATCCCTCCTCCCCCTCGGAGGTCCTGTAACACGCTCAGCCATGTCAGGGGGCAGCTGAGCTTCCCCATTTCAAGTTTTCTCTCTTTATAAAGAAGAATCCAAGGTCTGTGCTCCGTTTAACTATACAAGTTGAAGGTAGTGAGGTTAGAAGACCTCTGAAGGGGCTTTTTATTTATCTGAAAGCATCCTGCATTTGTGAAATATCGCTTAGGGGACTTCAAACTTTAGGGGTGTGTCAGGAGCTTCAGCTTAGTCCACCCAGGCAGAGGGGGAGAGCCGGACCTGCACAGGAGGGTACTGGGGACCCAACCTAGGAAACTCAGCTCTGGCGCAGCCGCTGTCCCACCACTGCACCTCCTCTCCCAGTCCACTTGCCTGAAGCCAGTCCTCTTGCCTTGCTGTCCTACTGGGAATGCTTTTTCCCCTGTGCTCCTAAACCTTCTGAATTCACTGCAGCACAAAGTCATCCATGTTTGTCTTTCAAGCAAAGGAGAAAAAAAAAAAAAAAAAGCCTTCAGCAGCCATATCTATTTGATACTTGCATATGTATGCATGCACACCAAGACATATCATGCACATGAAATACATTACAATGTATACACTGCCCAGTCTTCTAAATTGTATAATCCTACTGTAAGCAGTTTTTCATTCTCCGTTGATGAAAGTACTAGTACATAAAACATCTGTCAAAAATAAAGATTAGGCAATGGGCTCGGACTTGTTCAGGAAAGAAGCAAACAAGCAGTACAAATATCGCGCAAGTAAAATCCACCTCATGTAATATTAATCCTTTCATTGCCAGGAACCAACATTTTATTGGCATGAGGCAGCGGAAAGGAGAATTTGTTGTTTGTTTGGCTCAGCCAAGCTTAAATTTCACAAGGACTTTCTACTTACTTTTATCCCAATTCAACTGAACTACCGCACTGAACTGAAGGAAATACAAGGGGATATAACACATCTTAGGGGCTGAAGCACAAAGCAAAAAAATACAACATATTGTTCGGTGTAGACTGTAATCAATATAACAATTAAAATTTTAATTTTGCCTTATTTTCAGAGACAAGGCCAGAATCTATGCATTCTGGGGATGATTTAAACAAAGTAAAAGGCTGGAACTTGACACTGTCATGGTTTGGGCCTGGTCGGCAACCAACCACCACAGCTGGTCACCCTCCCTTCCCCCTCCCCACCTGGGAATTGGGGAGGGAATTAGAGGGGTGAAGGGAGTCTCACAGGCTGAGATAGGAACAGTTTAATAATGGCAATAAAACAAGAACAATGATGATGATAGGTAAAAAAAAAAAATATATATATATATATATAAACAGGCAATGCACAACGTAATTGCCCACCACCCGCTGACCAATCCCCAGCCCGTTCCCGGCCAGCGACCCCGAGATACCAAGATCCCACAATCGCAATCCCGGAAGCGAGAGAGAGAGAGAGGGAGCCCCTTCCCAACCACCCCTCCTCTATATAGTGAGCATGACGTTCCATGATATGGAATATTTCACTGGCCAGTTAGGGTCAGGTGCTCTGGCCGTGCTCCCTCCCTGCTCCCTGTGCCCTTGCGCACGGGCAGGACACGGGGAGTCGGAGAGTCCTTGAAGACTCGGTAGCAGCTGAAAACATCAGTGTGCTATCAGCATTCTTCTCATGCCAAACCCAAAGCTAAATCCAAAACACAGCACTCATCTAGTCCCTGAAAAGGAATATTAACTCTATTTCAGCCCAAACCAGGACACACATGCATCATATACAAAAACTAGTATTTGTTATAAAATAATTACAGTAAGATCGAACCTAAGAAATGCTCGGTTCATCATTACCCATTCACACTCCCAGCCTCTTCTTCACCTATCATGGAACTTCTGTGGGAAAAAAGAAAACAACAAAACAACAAACCCAAACCAAAGTACTTGGTATTATCCTTAAAAGTGTAATTTGTATGTAGAATTCAATTATCACTTTCCAAGCCATGCACCCAATATGGATGCATACTGTAAGAATCTATAAGCTTGGCATTTCGTAACGTTCAGGTATTTTACCTTGCAACCTAAATGAACATTTTAATGCAATTTTGCATTTAATTTTTCAGTTGTGTAGAATGGGGTGCTGCTATAGTTTTATGCCTTGAGTGGAGCTTCCACCCTGAACTTCAGCTCCACTTGACAAATACCATCGCTGCAGCTGCCTAAACTGACAGCAAATACAATAGTGGGCTCGTGGATCCCTATCCAAATAGAAGAGTGGGCGCCTGGAGCCCTATCCCACATCCACCATGAGGGAGGCTCACAGGAGACCAGCTTACCTACTCTTCAAGAAGACACCTGCCTCACCGAGCATCCCAGGAGAAGAGGCAGCAAAAGCCTGGAACTGAATTTAGAGAGAAGGGGAGCAGAGCCTGGAGAAGCACACCACGGCACAGCTGCTCTCAGGGCAGAGTGGTACAGGATGCTGCAGGTGCGCTGGGGAAGTGCAGCATGGCCTTAGCACACCTGCTTGCTGCTCCAGTTAGAACACCAGCATTCTCCTGACAATTTGGTGGAAGAGTTGCTGAAGGCTTGCAGTCAAATTCAGGGGGTGGCAATGACTTTTTTTTGCTTGTTTTTTCTTTAAGCGAGGATAAACATGAGGTATTTGTCTATCATGCAGGTTTCTTTCTTCTCTGTCCCACCCTCCCCTTTTGTGAAGGACAGAAACCAGCTGCAAGAAATGGAGATGATTCAAAGCATTTTGAAAGACTAAGAATCCTTCACCAGGAATATATTAAGCATATTGCAACCTGCATCTGCAACTGGACAGACACTATCAGGAACGTGGTAGCATCATGGTATTTAATACATAGTATCCAAAATAACCTTGTACTTTTCGCGTGACTTCCAGCAGCAAGCTTCTGGCAGAACCCTGGAAGACAGACTGCACTTTGCATCAGGATGAATATCTATTTATAATCCTCTGCACCCCCTCAATTAGCTACAGTAGGATAACGCTAGTAATCAAAAATGGAAAAGGGAAACGTCATAAAAATGTCATAAAACTTTTGAAAAGTAAACAAGATCAATATTTAGGAATGCCTGCCACTATCCATGATGCTCAGTTAACTTATTTTTAGGCAGTCCGGGAGGTTATTGAAAAAGCACAAGTTAAAAAGGTTCTTCTGAAATCATAGACCCAGACATCGCAACTGTGATCACAGCATCCACTTTATATACAGAAGGAACCAGAACAGATATGGAGAAAGACACTGCAGTTGATTATTTTGATTATTTTATTTTTTTTTAATCTTCAAAATTTTCTGCCTTGAGACAGGAATGCATGATAGATAGAAATGGCTCAAACATCTTCACATGAAACACTCTTAATCATAATTCATTCACAATTATTTTTCTAAAACATCTACAGTTACATAATCCCACCCATTTCCATCCATTATCACAGATTTAATTACTTGTTAAACAGTAGTTGCCAGCAATTGAAAGCTGTAAGGCTTTTTGCATATTAGTAGAGTCTTCTGAACTACAAACACAATAATATCACAACTATAACTCTCACTTTATATGGCAACCCCAGGTGACAGATGTTCCAAAAAGAAATGTGTTGCTTATGTGGAGTTCTTAAAAGTGACAGAGAGCTCTGTGCCTCGTTAGCTCTAAAATCCTTTCTCCTTTACTAAGATTATTTTCTAAACCTACAGCATATTCCTCATTTGGAACCAAGGACTTTGATGAGTTGACCTGTATCTTCCATTGCTGCTATCTGGCAAATCTGAAAGCCAGGCATACTTGAGCTCTCCAGTAAAACTCTATGTACAGAGCACAGTTTAAACAGATGGGTTGCTTGGAATCCATATCTCCCTCCATCTGAAGGGAACTACTTTGAGGTTTTCTGGAACTGTTGTAAACAAGAGGATATTTTTTTATATATATATGTGTGTATATATATATTTATATATTTTATATATAAATGTTCTAAATGTCCTTTGGGAGTCCATTTGTTTTTATCTTTCCAAATGATGACTAAATACCTGATCTGTAGCATTTCTCCTGAGAAGATACTAGTAAGGGAATGACAGTTTTGATGCACTTTGGAATGGCACAATCACGTAAACGCTTGCACAATTAAGACTTATGAACTCATCCAAAGTTTCTAAACATGATATTCTAACTAAGAACTAAAATATCAGCACAATGCAGCAAGTTAAAAAAGAAAATTCTATGTAATCAAAATATAAACAAGTACATAGGAAATGGATATCTGTCAGTAAATCTATATCTTTTTAAAGTATGAAACATATGCACTTAAGGAAAAAAATGTAGCTATCTGACAAACTTCGTAAAAAAAGTACTTTCCAAATGCATAACAAATGCCAAGATATCCCGTAACTGGCCAGGTATAGCCACATGAGAGCTGCATGGCTTAGAGCAACCTGGGGAGGGGGTGGGGGTGGAAACAAAAATAAACAACAACAACAACAAAATCATAAAAACAATAAATCAGCAAGTCTAGGAAAAGAAAAAAAAAATAAAAAAAATCACATCATCATCTAAATTACTGTATGCTTATATCACAACTGCTAAAGGAGCCAGGGGGTGGAGGGTGGCGGGGGGAAGTAGAGATTGCAGTTTAATGATTCTTAGAGTTACCTCTAAAAATTCAGAAGAAAAAAATATCAACTTAATATACCAATCCTAAGCACCAATTTAATAATTTAAGTTAACTGTATTTATATTTCTCCTACTAGGGATGGAGCAAGTTCTACTTGAAGGCTTAAAGTTTAGCTCTGGAGCCCATCTGACTTCTGTGTTCTTGCCACACCTCTCACATTCACACCAAAGTCACTGTAAAGACTCTCTTAAGTTTCAAACTCTCTAGGCAAACAATTCTTTGAAGAGACAGTTACATCCTACAGTTTAAATCAACTTTCAGGTCATGAAAAGTGAAACACACCAGTATTTGGTTAGTCTGTTATTAAATAGCCTGTGAAAATGGAACAGCCGACACCGTTCCTCGACAGGATTTGCCTTAGAACTAGCAGCACCCAGGGCAGACCAACTGCGAACACATCCAGACTCCACTAGGAATTAGTAGTGTTAGAAAATTGCATATGCATTAGATCAAGAAGGCATTGCCATACACGTGGCACCGTTACATTGTTACATTGATTTTCCTCTATTTTTCTCATTAAGAAAAAACAAAGGAAGACAGTCATACAAAGAGCTTTTTGTTTGGTTTTTTGTTTGGTTTTTTGTTTTTTTTTTTTTTTTTTGTTTGTTTCATTTGTCTTCACACCTGGAAAAAGCAGCACAGTACTCCCTAGCTGGAACAGCTCAGCGCTTCCCATCAGCTTAGTTCTTTCAGAAAGCACTTTCACATAGTTAAGGTGGTCTACAGTTCAGCTAATTCTCAGAGCTAACCTTTTTTCCAGTATATATTTCATGCCACGTCCTGACAGCAATTTCAGAACTGAAATGGATCTATGGTAATGTCCACTACTAACTGTGACCAGATCTTGACAGAGACCATCAAACCAGGCCCTTGGGATGGTTCCACACATTGAACTGAAGCTCAGACTAAAAATCTCACTGAAACTCAAAAGCTGGAGTGGTCATGAATCTCAGCTACTTTTCCTTATTTGAACCCTCACCCTGTAATGAAAGCACGCACACCAAGGGAAAATAAGAACCGCCTGAGCTGAGAGCATTAAGACACCGGTGAGTTCTCTTGCTGCTCTTCAGTGACCGTGGACTCGCTGTGCTCCTCACTCATCTCGTTGGAGGGCTCCTCATAGCCTGGCTCGGCGGGATCCAGGCTGCTCCCCTCGCTCTGCTCCTCGCTCTGCTCTTCGCTGGCCTCCGCAGACTGCTCCAAGTTGCTCTCCAAAGAAGCCGGAGAGCTGCCAGTTACACTTTCGTTTTGGTTCATTTCGTTAAAAGGCTGTGGGAGAGGTGCAGGAGACTGTACAGCGTTTTCACTGGCAGGGATGGGCACTTTGGTGGCACCGATGTCTACAACAATGTCATTTTGTGGTAGAGTTACCTTCTCCACAAGTTTCCATTGAATAATACTCATGTCTTTCCCTCCAGTTGAAATCAAGTGACCATCGCGATGGGTGAAGCTGACGTTTGTCACATGGCTACTGTGAGCGCTGTATTTGTGACTTGGAGCCTATTGAAAACAAGCAGAAGGATACATCACATGGCTTGACCAGAAGGGCACAGGATACCGAAATACAAAACTACAACTATTTTCACTTAGCCCTTAAAGAGAGCTCTTTATTCACATAAAACTAAAGAATTGTATTTATATTAGGTTTCCCTCCACAATACATGATCTCTTCTTAAGGCTTGTAACTTGGGACAGATTTAGATCTTTCTGAAAAAGGTAATGGATTTAATACCAAAGCCAGCAAACAGAAGGCACTAAGCCTATGCTCTAAAACTTAGGGGTAATTATTGCCACTTCACTTTTAAGTATATTATTCTGTATTTTATATTATTTTACACTTTCTGTTTTATATATAAACTTAATGGGGAACACCACGCTTTTGTCTCTAGCATTGTTCTCAGATATAAATGAGCTATTTGGCTGCCAGGTTCCAAAATGACCAAGATAGAAGCAGGTGTCTGGCAAGGAAAGCTTCATGCAATGCAAACAAGCACATAGACTAGACTGGTCTAGACTTACCTTTGGCTTGGAACAGGGATACTGAAAGAGATGGACCTTACAAAAATCATCAGCAACTGCTATCACCTTTCGGTTATGGGATCTGACAAGAGCATTTATGTCTGTCCCATCCGATCCTTCAGGCCAAACCCCTAGGAGAGAGTAGAGCAGATATTTAGTGATGGTAGCTTTAGAAACAAATTAAAAGACAATCTATATACAAAAATAAAATCTATAAAGCTGTGAGAAAAGGCAAGCTTAAACGGTAAGATATTCAACTGGAAAATGGAATATGCATTGCATTAAATGTCATTAATATTTTGCTAGTCTAATGGTGCTCCCCCACCCCCTGTTTCCCCAAACCCTCAGCCTCAGCCAAGATAACATCTCGGGTTTAACATACATTCCCTGTTCAAAACTTCAGTCTTGTTTAAAGCCTATCTTAATCTTAAGTTTGCTGCTCAAACTGGCAACTCTTAATTTTATCATTTTTAATCATGCACAAACGTTTTAAAACCAAGACTGATGCTGAAGCATGGAACAAGCCCAGGTACCGCACATTACGCAGAGCTTTTGGTTTTACTTTAAATCTTAGCATTTGTATGATTCAAAGAAGACAACTGATAGATGATACTTTGCACAGAAACCCAGCCTGTACAAGTTTCATAGATGTAAGTGCTGTCAAGTGCTTAAGTACAATTCAATATGCTTTTAAGTGAAAAGAATGACACAGATATGTCTAGACAAAAGAATAACAACATTGCCTGGATGAAAAGTGCTGAACAAATTGGGGAGTGGGGAGGCTCTAGTTTTACCAAAATATAAAGACCCTAGAGATTCCCATAACAAAATTGATGATTCACATCTGCAAGAAAAGCTGAACAAAAGGTAAACAAGGTGTTATAAAATACTCATTTATGCCAAAGGTACCATATTTTTATAGCTCAGACATGGGTTTCTGATTAGTTCAGGAGCTAGAAGGAATTTTCCCCCCTCAAATTTCACCTCCACTCCAAAAAACTGTGTGTCTGATTGACTGAGAGGGATGTGCATTACCAGATATGAAAACACCTTCCTCCCTTACAATCACTGACTTTGGTAAAATAAAAAACATGTGCTGTCTACCATTTTATACAGCACAAAATGCCAACTTAGAATTGCCTTGTCTTTTTCAAACTCCCACATTATCTCTTCTTGTTTTTAAGCAAAATGGCAAATAGCATTTAACTTTAAAGTTGTTTTTTCCATTCTTCAGTGGGTGGAATAAGAACTTTATTTTTTCAGAAGAATAACAAAGGCAGCTTGTTAAACTTGTTATAATGCCAATAAGCTACATGGTAGGTAATTTAATAAATAAAGACATGAAATGCTAAGGAAAGTAATCAGAAACATTTTAGTGCTCTCACATCAATGAAATAAATCTGAAAAATATATACTATTTAAGAATTTTCAAGTAGCTCAAAAAGAATACATTTTAACTTTCTCCTGCATTCTATATATAAAATACTGTCATCAGGTGGGAGTAATAAATAAACTTCAAATCAATTTCCTGAAGTTTCAGCTACTACCTTACGCAGACTGTGCCAAACAGCTATGCTATTTCCTCTTCTTTTTAAATTAAGATGAAAAAGACTAATATTCAAGATTGCATCTCTTATTAAACATCCTTTGTGTTCACAAATTCCTTTAGCAGCTCTAAAGGTAAGACAACCCTTTGTCATAAGACAGCAAGATTTGCTTTCAATGCATCAGGCAAGCATGTAAAAACAAGACATTAAGACCAAGTTCTTAGTTCTTAATAACTACAAATATAACAAAAACCCCAAAATCACAGGACTTTGTTATTAGGTATGACAGCAGCACTTCAATTTTAATAAATTCTGCTAGCCAGCAGTAAGCCTCTCAAAAGAATCAGACAAGAAGTGTGGGGAATGTGCATTAAACAAGACAGTGACTTCAAGTGCTGGGGGTGCAGACTGATGATACTGCTGAGCCAACATAGTGGTATCAACTGCCAAAAAGGAGCGATGCTATTCTCATCCGAACCATGCATTTCCATCCTCCTTCTACTAACAACAGTGCAATGCCTGAGCCTATGGACACACTATCTACAGAGGCAAATTAGTAAAACACATACTCCAAAAGCCCAAATCCCACAAACTTAACCCTCTCTCCTGAACATCAAAGTGAGAAGCCCCCAGGCTTGCTTGGATCCCTGAGCCAGCTGACCCTCAGGTCAAAGCCAGACTTCTTTAGGCAGCAAATAACTGCTAGGTTGGCTTAGCTGCACTGTCTGATTTAATGGGAAAATACTTGCCTTTGTCTGAGACTAAGCCATGATTTTAAGATTCTGCAAAGGGTGTCTGACTACCAGACAATATAAAATTAAGGCATGATGAATCTTGGCTAGGAAGTTTAAATACATTCTATTCTGCCCCTGAACCACATCACATTATCTGCTTTATCTACTTCACTCCCAGGTCCTCTGGCATACTGAAGATTTTGAGAGCAGTTGAGACTAATTAAACTTAATCCAGAGTGGTTAAAGTTTGTACTAATCCAAAAGGGAATGCAGACAGGATCAGCAGACTGTTTAAAAACAGAAAGTAAAAAAACTTCTCAGAACAGTGGTTGTGGGAACTGCTCATCTCCAGCCTGGCCCCAGCCACCAGTAGCTTCTATCCAACAGCTGTTAAAGAGCCAAACCCAATGGTCTAGATGTGAAAACAAACTCTTTCTGCACTCCTGCAGCTCGTCTTCTTAGGGCAGGAGTAAAGGATACTTCTGGGAAAGCGATGGGATTCAGAGAGCTGCTTCCCTTATTCTGTCTGCTCTACCACCAAATGTAGGGCTAAAAGTTCAGTAGCAACAGAGCCACCACCTGCTACCTCCACGCTTCTGGGTAGATATAAGTACTCTGCATAAAATGTAAAATGTCTTCAGCTACAAGGCTATTCCACAGGATATATTCAGTCCTTACAAAGTGTTTTTATTGCTCCTGGAGAAAGACGTCATATTAGCATCAGAGTTTTTCTTTTCACTTTCTCTAGCATCTCCTGCATCTTCTGATATTTCATGTTAAAAAAAGGCATTTGTGTTGCACTATTATTTCAGTTGCAGTAGCAAAGACAGTGAGGAAATGACTGCCCTGGACCAATTCATTGTCAGCATAGGTTTACGTGCACAGAGCACAAGGACGAAACAGCCATTCACTCTCTACTTCACCCAGACAGACTGAATAAAAACAAACACGTACACAACCCGGTTCACAGTTCTTAGGCTAATGGGAGCCAATATTTTCATCAAACTAGCAGTAAGCAACCGTATTCAGTTCCAGAAACAGCACATTCCTGTTTTTTTTTCTGCTACTTACCTCAGGCTCCAAACAACTCAAAAATATTTATGCAGTTTATCAACCAGTCAGCTTCCTTCTCTGACCCCTTTAATCCCTCTGTTCTGCCTCAGATCTCTGGCACCCAGAAAGGAAAGCAAGCCCGTTTACAAAGCACCAAATGCCCTCCACCCAACCAGTATGCCACAGGCGAGCGTCAGCATTAGCCTGCACATCAACTGCAATCTTTTAAGGCTACTTGCTCATTAAGCACACGATGGTCCTAAAATATGCACAATAGGTGTAGGAAGCTACAGGAAGCACTCAGATTTAACTGATTTTCTTCCCCTCTTGCATATTGAACTCCTAGTAGCTGTGAAGAAGATTTGTAGACCTAACCCTTACCCTCTAAATAATTTGCTGATTCACCTGCTTTTGATGTTTCCAACATGAAGAACAGAGTCAGGTATCCGATCTCAGTGGTGGAAGTGAGACAATCAGCATTCTGCTCAGACAACTTGGTTTTACAGTGCTGACAGGCTGAACCATACTTTTCAACCCCTCACAGAGGGGATCCTCCTTTATGGCCAACAGAGCTGCAAAAGCAGTTTGAGCTGTCTGACCACAGTCTCAAACCTGCACTATTAAAATCAGATCTGTTGGCTTTGTAAATTTTTTGGTAAATTTAAAAATAAACTACTAGGTCAAGAATCTGTCTGAAGCATTTTAAGTCTTTGGAAATAGTGTATATTACTCACCTTTGACCACAGGTATCAAACTGTTGTCATGATTTTAAGCCATGAGCTATAACCTACACTCACATAGTCTTGATCCTATCCCAAAACAAGGTAAGCAAAGGAAAATGCACATGTGCCATATGACCACTTTAAAATACCAGGTTTTTGCTTCAGTGTCTCCAAACTGTTAGCCTAATATGACAGCAGGAAAATCAAATCCCAAACTTAAAGACTAAATAGAAATCAATTGTACTTTGTCTTTAAAGCATCCATTTGTATCATAGACAAGTATTGTCTATGGTCAGTCTGGTCGATCATCTCAGTACCATCCTCAATAATCATCAACAGCAAATTTCTAATGACAAAAATGAAGCAATATAAAACACAAAAGCACAGCTTAAAAGCAAGTTAAATGGTGCTTACCAAAGACCTGGAAGCCTAGCACACAAGTGTATGTTGTCCAATCTATATCCTTACAGTCAGAACGATTCCTGATAAGCTTACAGCCACTTGGAATGTCCCCTGTAAAAAAAGTGAATGATGAGTTATACCATATAAAGTTATATTTACGTATGTGCTCTTTGAAGTTGCTAAGATAGTAACTAAATGCATCTTAAACCCAATCTAGAATCACACTGTAGAGGCAAAGACAGACCAATACCTTTGTCTAATTCCAGATACTTGAAGTTTCACTTGGTATTTGAGTGACATTTACTTCTCATTTCCCTCTTCAGACTAGCACACCTCAAAAACACTTCCCTGCAGCTTGAGTCCCCTGCTACCTACTCTATAAAATGCTTTAATAAAGTCTGTAATAGAATAATTTCTCCTTCCTACCAGCTCCACTGACATGCTAAAATTCAATCAATCATCCAGGAAGCTCTGCTTTTAAAACAGTGAGCAACTACTGCCAGAGGAGCTTTAGACTGCTTTTCAACTTCTAACTAGGAAAGGAAAGACTGTCTATCCTTCAATACACCAGCCCAATACTAATGGGTCACAGCTCATTGCTTCCCTGGACAAGAACCAACACTTCCTTTTGGTAGACTGAGATATCACACTATTCAGATTTGAAACCTAAGTTGTGACAGGCAGAACAAACATGTTAAGGTGACATATTTAAACTGCTGGCTCTTCCTGCCCGTACAGGAACAAAACTTATAATCCTCTAGGATCTAGTTAAAGCCACAGAAAGACAAGAATACAAAAACAATTTAAAAACAGACTGATACACACTATGGAAGTTGAACTTCTGACATAACCACTATATATTAAATTCATATTTTCACATATTAAAAAAAGACAAACACAAAAACATTATTACCACTAACTAATTGCAGTAGTATTATTGCTTTGTTTAATTTTCAATACCACCAGCCAAGATAAAAGTTTTAAAAAAGAAACCCTTGAACAGAACAGTGACACAGACCCGCTGATTTTATTCCCCCAAAATAACTGGTATTGTTGACACTAATTAGACAACGGTATGTTTTATTTTCAATCTACAGAATTTGGGGCCAACATCAAAACATAGTGCCACTTGTTCTGTACATTCTATGCTGTTAAACTGATTTATGACCTTGTAAAGAAGTAAGCTATATTTAGCATTGCCATTAGGTAATACACAACTTGAATAACATCAAGGTATCAGGTTACAGGAGTCCAAGTTGGTTCCTTTGTCAGTAAGCATTTTGTTCAGCCCTGACCAAACATACTCTTCTAAATATTCTGACAGCTAATACATACTTCTGTTTCCAGTGTATTTAATTTCATACTTACAGTATAGTATTTCATAGTCTCCTGAGTTTGACATTATATACTTGTTGTCTGGGCACCAGTCAAGGTGTGTAATATAGCTGGAATGTCCCTGGAGAAGAATGCAGTAACACCAATGTGAAACACTTAATTCAAAAAGAAGCAGAAGTTGCACCCATGCAGGGGACAGCTAATAGCATAAAAACACCTCCCCCCCCCGCCCCCAGATCTGCTGCAATTCACTTGAGCTCCTTTAAAGGCTCCTTACTCCACAGTGCCACGCTTGCTAACAGCTAAAGAAACACAGGCTGAGCATCATGCCTCTCACTCCGCATGGTGGATTCTTCACTTGTAAACCGATGAACTCACATCTGTACTTGAATTAAGAAAGTATACATTGCTACTAATTGAGACAGGCAAGTAACTTACACAGGATCATTTTTAGATCCCAACAGAAAAGTGACAGATAGGACTCTATTTTATTTCTCTATCCATTAGTTCATCCTCGTACAACTACAAGATCAAGAACTGGTGTTACAAGAATACTCTTATAAGTTTTTTGTATGCATATCACTGCCAGCTTTGAAAGGAGTCTTCCCTCCTTTCAGAGGGTCATCTATGTAAGAATAAAACCACTACAGTCTAATTGCTCAGTTATCACCATCAAGAGCACATTGAGGGCTAAACACCCATCTTTGTTTTTGAGAAAGAAGCTAAGTGTAGCCGGTCAGAATATTTTCCCTCTGCATGAACTTTCTTCTTGGTAGTAATAACAATTGTAATAATAAAGCTATGAGAGGATCCAGAGAAGCCACAAATGTGTGTAACATAGGATTAAATTATTTCTCTGTAGATAAAAGAGTAGGAAATGAAGAACAGTGATGTCCAGTCACTCTTCTCTTCCTCCACCCTTCCATTACTTCTTAATGCTCCTATTCCCCTTGTAAGACCACCCATTTTCTCCCCTTCCTAGTCATTCTGCCAGGCAACAAACTGCCACTTTCTTGACTGACAGATGCCAATTCATCTCCCTCTCTCAGTGGGCATTATGAAGATGGTGTCCTCCAGTCCCCGCAAGGTCTCTTGGTCCAGCCTGCACCCACCGTGCCAGGCCCATGCTGGCACACGGCACTGGCTGCTGCGCCACCCACCACGCCAGCTTCCTTCACAGGGATCTCTACGAGATGCTGATTGCTTCCAGAATTACATGTAAAAATACACCCGTGTCTGTCTCCCTGTCCCCAGGTCCTCTGTGAGAGACTGCAAAAACATTTAGGAGAAAAGCTAGACTTTAAGATTTATTTACTTATGAACTAGTCTCTGCCTCAAGCAGAGGAACTGTGTATTGACATAACTGCTTTGCAGTCATGGGTGGGATATATGATATCGACATGCAAACTTGGTATTTAAAAAAAAAATAAATGCACAATTGGCTAGGATTTTTTCTCCCCCCTTTATTTTCCAAGTCTTCAAATTTGCAAGTGAACTCCAACATGGAAAAGAATTGGTCAGTCATTTACTAAACCCTGCCAGACATTTGGCAGCTGTTAAAATTCCTGGGGGCGGTGGGGGGGGGTGGGGGTGGGAGGGGAACAAAGCAATTGGCCAGGGGGCTCCATGCTGCAAAATCCCTTCAGGCAAGCAATCACCAAACGATGAACTGGAACATAACATTGTCATAATATTTTCAATAGGACGATCCCATTTTCTACTAAAATGTTTCTTTGGTAGCTGCCTACTCGTAAGGCAACATTTTACACTTTCCTTTTCTGTACCTTTATATACAATGAACATAATTACTCATATTGTCACTGGCTAATAAAACTATCTGACCAAATGGAAACCCTCTCCTTCATTGGCAATGTTTATCTGTTTCAGACTTAAGTGGTGCAAGAATTGAAATGCCCATAGCCTACAGGATGGGAGCACACAATTATTTCCGGTTAAGTCCAGTGTATCAAACACTTCAGTGTGGCTGCCTGAGTGGCTTTCACTCCACAACCCTCTCGGTAAATGCACGGCACTTGCTTCTCCTTTGCTAACAGATATCTCTGATGTAAGGCAAACAGAGACAGCGCCAGCTACCCTGGAGCTGCTGACGTGCTGGAAGTTCATACCCCAGCCCATACCTTCACACTGCTGTCTGCATAGCTGAAGCCCTCAAAAAACAGCTGCGCTAGTCCAAACGGTTGTTTCAGCTCATCTGAAATTCTTTCTGATCACAACCAACACCATCCCTCACTGTGGAAACATGCTCACAGGTCAGAGGCTCGCCTCTCTGGCAGCAGCAGAAAGTCTGGTCGTGACTGGAAGGGGATTTAAATGTAATAGTGGGCATACAGCCCTTATGCACAAGCTGATGCTGGTTCAGTAGATAAAATCCTTCTGAAAGAATTCAAATAACGTATTCAAGTTGGAAGAAACAACCCAGAGCTGACTACCACGAGGACTGAGTCACACTAGCCGGAGGTCACCCGTGAGGCCCGCAGAACGCCAGCCGGACGGGGTCCCGAGCGTGCCTGGGTGCCTCCCTGCCGAGCACCGGGCCGTACAGGCCGGCGGCGGCGTGGGGAAACCGGGTCAGCTAACGTGCTGCTGCCCGCGGCGCAGGCTGGAGGGGCAGGGGAGCTCAGCCCCAACAGAAACCAGGTTGCTAATTTTGGCTTCTGCACACAGGCACTCAGACTAAAAAAAAACCAGTTCACTGAAATCTGCTTTGAAGCCTTAATGCTTATGCCTGAGTATAATAATATGGATTTCTTCCATCCCCGTTTTTACAAACCCCTTTCCTGCAAAGGCAGAGGGACAGACAGACAGACATACAGATGCTGGTTTTAAATTACAATACACTCTCTCCTGATACATAATACATATGATATACAGAAATAAATGATCTCATACATCTTCAGAGAGCTCACAGAGACCTTGAAGTACATAGGAAGCTAAATATTACATATGTTAAGATTTGCCATCTCTGAGTGATTTTATCTTTTATGGTTAAAAAATAAGTGATGGGGTAAGACGCTGTACTGAGGTGCAGCCATCCACTGCTGTCCCCACCAGCCCCCCGGTCTGACCTGCCTGTAGGTTCAGCCCATTCCCCACTGCCTGAGCTCCCCGGGAAGTCTTGCAAGCGTGATTTCTCATCTCACGACCACTGTGCTATGGACTAAGCCCCTCACCACCCTGCTCGGGGGCCGCAGGACGCCCTGCCTCACCCCTTGCCACAACCCTGCCACTGAAGAGTCCCCAGCACCCCCAACAGCCTCCTCCCCCGGCCGCACCCCGTGCCAGCGCCGAGCCCTCCCTGCCAGCCTGCATACTGCAGGTACTGGGCAAGCTCTGTGCCGCCGGCCACCCTGGCAGCAGCTGGACACAGGCTGCTCTGGACCCCCATGTTCTAGCAGCACGGGGCATCCTCAGCCAAATGATGGGTGAAATCTCTCAAACACACCATGTGGGGCACTAAGTGACTGGCTAGTGCCAATTCGTTCTCCCCTAACTAAGTTTCTACTGCAAGTCTTGCATCAAAGGTTGCAGAAGAAAAAAACCCAACAAAACAACTTAGAAATAAAAACCCCAGAAACCCCACAATTTAGTCTTATGCTCCCCTTACCTCCCACTTTCAAATTAACAAAGCAACTTGAGAAGTTTGCTTACTTTTAAAACTGAAGAAATGCAATTGGTGACAAACATATGAAAAGTGTTTTGAGCAGGGGATGCATTCCTTAAAATAAATATTTCGCATTTCAAATGTGAACCTATTCTTACGATATCACTTGCAAATCCCATTAAGGTTCAGATATTCTTTATGTAAATACTCCCATTAACTTAAAGAGACAGCTGATCTTAAGGGCAGGATGTTAGATAACTAAGCACTTAAGGAAAAAAAAAAAAAGTGTGCCTTTTTAGCACTGGGAAAACCTACCGTAAGTGTAAGGACTAACATAAACCCCACTTGTGCTACACTTATTTATCCTGGGCCAGAAATTTATTGTTAATGTATCCCCCAATTCCAAATTCTGTAGTAACAATTGCAGCTGAAAACAGTGTATATTTGCAACCTCCAAAATTACATATTCTAATGAAATTCCATGATCTAATGTAATTTTGGTTCAAGAAGTACTTTACCAATAGTGGCAAAATACCCCCAAACAAGTGTAATATTTTCCCCAGAAGAGTTTCAGCATATAGGTACAAGGCATTTCTCCATCTTACTGATAACTTCCCATTTCAAAAAAAAGTCAATAATCTGAGAGAGTAGTCATATTTGATGCAAAAGTGTTCACTTAGCACTAACAGTTACAATACCTATCAGACTGAAGTTTAATATCAATCAAATGCTGGTAAACCCCCCCGTAAAATGTATAACCAAAACTAAAAATGAAAAAGCATCAACCCGGAGGGAGTGCGACTGCTTAACATCTTAGTGTATGGATTTGTAACATCAAAATGCAAGAACTGATTATATTTGCTCCAAAACTTACAGTGCATTTTCCGTATCTGCTATACTTTCTTCCATTTTCTGTTACTACGTAGAGGTAAATAAAGTTGTCATGGGATCCAACTGCAAGTAAGGTGCCATCTACAATGCAAAATATTTGATATAAATCAACAGAATGTTTGTTTTCCAAATTTTAAAGATTTCAAATTTATCAATAAGACAATAGTCTCAATTAAACTACTGCTTACAAACTGTATTTAAGGATACATAACTGTTTGCATTATGTGTTTTTTAGTCAGTATCTGTTGACTTTGTGGGTATAGTTTTTGGGAATGTTTGTTTACTTCTTTTTTTAAGTAAGTGTCCAATGGACAGCGTATAAATCCTCAAATTGCACTGGATTACTGGAAATTGTTGACAGCAGGCAGGCTTGAGTTTTCTGCATCACAAAAAATGCAGAACAGTATTTACTCTATAGTTAGCTTAGCTTTGAAGCTGGTGGGCTGCATATAAATCGGCACTAAATAATGCCTGAGGAAGTGGAGCATTCAAGCAGTATAAGCAGTTTTCTAATCTGTGTTGTCTCCATTTAAAAAACGAAGTTCGTGGACAAGAGCTGCCTTGAATCAAGATCAAACGCCTCCAGTGTCAATGAACATCAGTACTTTAAAATAAGTTGTTGTGCTTGGCAGATACGGCAGCAGCAGAGTAACGTTTTGCCCACTGACATGGCATGTTATCCAAAAGCAAACAAGGAACAGATTTACGAGAGTGTTCTTCCATCTAGTTTTAACAGAGAGGAGTCAGCCTCTGATGATCTGTCACGTCATGTCTGAAGAGGAGACTCAACACTGGCTTGGACTCCACATAATCCCATAGCAAATAATTAACAAACAGCTCTCAGTTTCAGACACACCTGAACTTAGTTTTATGGTTTTGCATTAATAAACTTGAAAATTAACTACGAGTATATTAAAATATCACTGAAATACTAAACTTTTTACAGACCCTTCTGTTAACCAGTCAATTATTTAATTGAGAACTTTTAATTTTTCTGGGAGCAAACCTAACATTTATTATAATGGCACAGTTCAACATGAAGGAAAGGCTGGGAAAGGCGACTGTAATGTTTGCAGTTACAAAACTCTAAGATTTAGAGTATACAAACAAACCTGTAAGCAAGTATTCAGTTATATATTAAGCATCTCAATTTTTTCCAAAGCTCTTCCTTTTCTAGTGACTGGGGAGTAGTTTAACACCATTTAACAGAACAGACATCTCATTTATCAGCAATTACTCTGAATGTACAAGTCTGCTTACCTACTGAGTAGCGCATCACTGAGAGCTGTTCGTTGCCATCAGTGTGTATGGAAACCAGATCCCTTGTTTCCGCATCCAAGACAAACCACCTAGAGAGAGGAGAATTCCAATGAGTATCACCGCCACTAGACAAAAAAGCAAGCAAAAGAGGAATAATCACTGCCTGCCTTCACCTTCTTATGCTAGCCCCTCAAGGGCAGCACTGTGAACATCTGTTTTCAATGGAACGCTTTTCTGGTTTACAACGTGATACAAGCTTCCGTGAAGAATATATAAAGATCCTAAATACAGCCCAATTGTTTCCTCCTTACTCGAACACTGCAGTAATCACTAAAATACCTACCGTATGATAAACATTCCACCAGATAGCTAATATGACTGCACCTTATTGTCCTGAAGCCTTAAGGCTACAACTGAATTTTAATCTACTACTACTTCCCTGTTTTTAAGAACGGAAAACCTTTCCACTCTCATTTTAAACACAAAGTATATTCTAAGTTGGTGTTTTCTCCTCAGTCCTTTCAATTTCTATGAATAATTTTATCAAAGTAAGAAGGAATAACCATTTACTGAAATTTGATGGTCCATAACGCAGCATTTCCTCTCCCACCCCTGCTTGGATGATTTATAACTAAGGCGAGTAATTGCATTTTTTATTATTTAACAATAACTTTTAACTTGCAGTATTAGTTATGAGGCACATGTAAGAAGCTGAGAGAAGTTTATAAAATCTCAGTGGTCCATACACCAAAAACGCCACTGACAGGAAGACAGATAAGATCAGCAGAACCTGAGCATTTTGCAATGGTTCTGAAGCCCACCTAACTCCTAAATACAGTGAACATTAGCAAAACAAAGCCAATGAAATCTTACTTAAAAAATATATACACATATGCATGTCATGAAAATGTAAGATGTTAACATGGCTAAATACATTAAAGCTGTACTCAGCATTTAATTTCATTGCTCCAAACTTCTGATCTCACAACCATGTGCATACCTCACAGCCAGGTTTCCATCCCTCTAGGCAAATGGCAAGTTCACACACTGTGGAAATGAGTAAGGCAATTCCACCCGCTGTCTCATAGTGAACTCAGTGGAACACTGCTAAAGCTAGGACCATTTATTCCATAACAAACTTAGGTTATATAACCTAAAATAAACTCCAGGAACAACAGCACATTGATGCTTTCTATGGATGGAGATGAGATTCCAGCTCATGCTGATCCAGTGTCCGGCAGCTATCCGGAAAGCGGCCTAGTCCCAATGCTTTAAAACCAGCTTGTGGTTAGAAAACCACATGAAACAAATCAAACACACAAAAAACCCCAGCCTCACATGCCATGGACTGCTGAATAATATGTGTGCAAGACAGATGGAAGCAGTGGAAAACAGCTAATCATGTTTGCACTGGACAGCAGCAGAAACCACGCTCAGAGTTCCTCTGCTGTAATCCTCTGCTGAAAGTGGACTTTAGATTTCCAATCTACACACTAAAGCTTTGCAGGCCCTCTGAATGCATTAGGAGTTACAAGTTGCTATTTCATTCAAACTATGTCCCCATTTGGCCCTGACAGATGCTTCACTAAAATGTTACCTGGCTGATAACCCTGATAGGGGTGTGGATATTAAAGAACAAAACAAAAAAACAAACCAAACCAAAAACAAAACAAAAACAAAACAACAACAGCAACAACAACAACAAAAAAAAGCAAACCCCAAACACAACAAAAAAGCAACCACAAAAGGGTTTGGTAGGCGGGAAGAGAGAGGGTACCTATGTTATTTTGCCACCATGGAAAGAAAAACAGTCACTCCATCACTACAGCAAAACTGCTCTAAAAGCAGATCCTGATGGGATGACAACAGAAGTGTGAAGAACACACACGGAAGCATCACTGAGTTGAAGTCATCCGATTTTCAAGTAACACAAGAAGTTGATCTGAAAGGCAATGCCCCAATGTCTCATCCTTATTTTGTGTTTTCCTGAATCCAGCATAGGGTAGAGGTTCCTCGCTGCGTCAGCCCAGGTGGGCAACATACCTCTTGTGCACAGACAACAAAACAGGAGATATAGGAAGATCTTTTGCTTTACCAGAAAAACTTAAGCACTATACTGTAAAATCTATTTATCTAGCAAGATGACACAGCATGATGCCTGCTTGTTTATCCTGAGAAGCGTAATTGTGGTGCCTGGATATAAAAACTGATGATCAGCACAGTAGCAACCAAAAGAAGCCTTCTTCCACAAAGTGGATGGGTACCCCCTTCCCACGGGTGACTGTGCTGCACAGCACTTCTGCCCTCCGTGTTCCAAAATACACAACCGGGGCAGGGCAGGGATGCTGCTGTGGCAGGGACATGCCTCTTGATGCTGGCCCTGAAACCGGCTCTTTAGGTTGGTCCTTTGAGGCTGCTACCTGAACCAGGTAATTCTCCAGTTAATATTATGTAAAATTTAGAAATACCCAAAGCCTAAAATGCAACTGAAAAAACATGCAAACCCCCTCTCATTTTACTGAAAGCACAGTGCTGGTATGGAGTGGTATCAAACAAAACGCAAAACTTCTGCAGATCTTAAGAGTGCACACTGAACTTCATTTGGCATTAGGAAACAGCATTTTTGTGACATCAGTCCTCCTCCAAAAATTCCTCTGAACAGGAGATACTAGCAGCAATCTTAGCTCACCATGGAAAGAGTCAGCGCACCATGACAATTTTGATAGTAATTTAAGAAAGAAAGCACTGGTCACATCTAGTTCAGCTGTTTCTTGATGGTTCTACAAGCTGTAATCAGACATGCTCTCTTTAATCTTCCAAGCTCTCTCAATGCCACGGCAAACACTGTCACTGCCAGCAAGAAAGTCCTTTGCCATGAAATGTGTCTCCAGTCTAGCAGCTCCAGCAGTTCATCAGCATGCCCCACACAGGCGCTGCTCCCCAACACCTTGGGTCCACCTCGAGACTAACTTTCAGGAGAGGATCTTCCTTCCAGCACGAACGTATGCAACATGCAAACTGCAGCTGACCCTGAAAAAGTCCTAAAGGCTGTAAAACACAAGGCTTGGCTGCCAAGGCAACTTCTGATCTGTAGATCAGATTAAATACATGGATGAATGGTATCCCAGCTATAAGATAGTGGCTCTTTCTCTTTTTCTGATTTGTGTTGATTTTTCTCCCAGTTGTTACTGAAGAGAACATGCTTAACCTGTTTGTGAGTTCATGTAAGCAAGACAGAACATTTGCCATCTTCATCTGTTTCCTGTCTTCCCATTCCTTTGTTTTTAAAAATATATCTTTTAGAAACAAAAACCTTTAAACTACTCTCTCTTGGAAAACCAGTTCTGACCAATGGCAGACACAACAGACATTGAACCGGTATAAATCTCAATAGCTCTACTGACTGATTTACCTCCTTGTGGCTCTGGCTTACACTGGTCTTGTCCTTCAGCCTTCAGTTTTTTTAAATAATGTTAGTATTTTTGTAAGAATGTTATTAGTCTTTTTCGTCTGCAGTGCTTTTGGGTACTCACATGCACAGCACTCAAGGTATTCTACATGGTAAGTCATAGAAAGGTCTACTTCCCTACAAATAATACCACTGGCAGCATGGCAAAAGGATCTGTACAGTGTGCCTTGAAAACCCCACTTTTATGGTAGGATTTCTGATTGCCAGCCTTTTTTCCTTTTCCAGCTGTGCATTTCCAGTAAGCATCAGGGTCCACAAAAAGTAGTTCTCTCTAAACCAGGCTTAATCCCAGACAACTGATGACCAGGCACACAGCAGGTATTTAAAGAAGTGCTAACAAAACCTGCAGCAGGCCATTTGCAGACAGCCCCAAAAGGGAAATGATACCGAAATACTCATCATGGGAAGTGGTACGTTTAAAACACACGTTTAAAACTACAGCACATTGGCCTGATAAAAACACACGGCTGTGAAACAACAGACAAGAATGGGAAGAGAGGTAGAAAATCCAGTTTTCTTCAGATGTCACAATTTTAACCATCAAACCCAACTTTCTTAAAGCTACATTCTGTAGTGCTGTCTTACTGACCTCTGTACTGGAATTAGAGCAGTACTAGAATGGCAGACAGACAGACACATCCAAGGTTTGGGTTTACTGAGTCCTAAACAGATTAGACTCATTTAACATTTGCTTTAAGCATTTTGGGCTATGAATCAAGTTATTAAATGACTTGTTATGAGTCTGAGATTATTTTCACCTACATTAATTGAGACATACCATACAGTGCTCATTCTTTGGGAAGTAACTCCCTTGGACCAGATTATCTGGCACAGAAAGGACTGTGTGATGCTGCTGGCTAGGCAGTAAATTTAAAACTGGTCTGTTTATCTTGATTCACAACTCCATTTATTTCTCATCCGCTTGTACACTTACCAGGCCTCATTTCAATTCAGTTTTATTTGTATATCTCAAACCTATCACTGAATCATGCAATTGGAGAAGACAACAAAAATTTAATGGTGAAAATGTAACTGCTTAGTTCCAAGAAGAACAGGGTAAAAAATAAACAACAAAAAAACCCAAGGCCATCATCTTAAACTTACCAAACAGTATAAACTGGTTGCCGCAATTAATTTAAAAATAAGAATTTAAACTGAAAAGTGATGAACTGAAGAAGTAATGCTAAATGCTCTGGAGAGGGGAAAAAAAAAAGTCAGTCAAAAGCAAGTAACAGACTGAATGCTTGTTGTGGTTTAGGCCTGATTGGCAGCCAACCACAATGCAGCACCTCTCTCTCCCATCCCCTCCGGCAATGAGAAGGGACAGAGAGCCACGCTTGGGGTTCAAGATAGGACTAGGATGGGGAAAAATCCCCCTTTTATGATCACGAGCAAAAGGAAGATTTGTTAGGGGAAGAAAAAAAAGAACATACATTTATTACAGACACTAACAACACATAACAGAGTAGGACAGTGAGAAGCATTGCCACATCTTGAGAACACCTTCCCCCCACCCCTCCCTTCTTCCTGGGCTCAGCTCTGCTCCCGATATCTCTACCTCCTCCCCCAGTGGCGCAGGGGCAGGGAATGGGGGGTGCAGTCAGTGCTGCCACTTCCTTCATCTTTGGTGAGGGGAGTGTCCGAAACTCATTCCTCCTGCTCCATCGTGGTCCCCCTCTCACAGGAGACAGTCCTCCACAAACTTTCTCCGACTTGAATTCTTCCCATGGGCCACAGTGTTCCCCATACTGCTCCGTCATGGGTCACTAACTTCCTCCGACTGGATTCCCTCCCACGGCTGCAGCCCTTCCCGAGGTGCTCCAGCATCGGACTCCCCCGCATGCTGCAATACTCCCAGCACTGAATTACAGCAGCAGGGCTACCTTTTCCCATGAGACCCCGGCCTTCTTCTGGTACAGCACCTTGATCAGGTGAGCAGGAGCCACAGGCCATAAATCAATGTCTGCTCTACCGTAGATCTTCATGGGTGGCAGGGGGGGCCGCCCTGCCGTCTCACCACAGGATACAGGGGGGTCTCTGCTCCGGCACACCTCCCCCCTCCTTTCTTCCTCTGTTCCTCCCTGACCTTGGTGTTCATGCAGCTGCAGCAACTCCTCCTCACAAGTCCGACTGCCCGTCACCACGTCCCTTCTTAAATACGTTATCACAAAGGCGCAGCTCATTGGCTCAATTTTCCAAACAGAAGTGGAGCTGACTTGGAGCTGGGGGAGCTTCGAAAAGCTTCTCATAGGGGGCCACCCCGATAGCCCCCTCCCCTGCCACCAAAAAACTCCACCACTCACTCAACCCAGGACAATGCTTCAGCTGCTTAATATGCCTTGATTGTGCTTTGATGTAATTTCAAAAATGTCTAATAACTCTTAAGAAATGTAGCCTGAACTTCTTTTCCCTTTTCCTTGTTACAAGTACTATTAAGCCTGTACCTTCTGCTCTGTTTAATGAAGGCAGAAGCATTCGTTCAATTTAATGCTATAACTAGAAGGAGATAAAAAAATGGAAAGGTACAACATGGAAACCAAATATACAAGAGCTCAGCAAGATTTTTCTTAAGAAGGTAAACTAGGTTTTCTAGCCTGAAGTTACACCTAATTAATGTAGTGCAGAGTGCATCTTCATCTTGGAGAAGGAAACTCCCTAAAAAGTACTGAACTTTTCATTTTTCCAGGCATGTTTAAGGGTGTTGCACATGCTCAGCAATTTCTAAAAAGCAAACTTTAAATGGTTTTTAGGCACGAGGTTAGGTATAAGACAATTTCTAGAAGGTGAATTAAACACAAAAAAATTCCCAATTTTCTTACATGCACTATGCTGAAACTGAAAACCAGAACAAATATGCTACTAGATTTAATATCTGCTCCTCTCACCTTTCTAATGCTATGAGTATCCTGTTTTTTCTTTGAATTGTTACTTGCTAAAAATCCATTGCATGAAACTCCTTTCTTGGGAGATGACACCCAGACAGAGTTTGACTATGAATTAAACCAAATTTTTTCCACCACTGAAAGAAGCCTGGGTTAAAAGATTCAGCTTGTGTTTTGATAGCTTTCAAATATGTAACAATTTCAGGAAGAGTGTGAACAGCTCAATAGCACTTCATTGCAGCAGTGCGCCATGTTGAAATCTGTCTTACACAAAAATCAAAATACCAGCCTGTTCACTTGCTCCTCCACATCTGTTTAAAAGGTTGCAAGTGTGTTTGATTTGGGAAAGAGAAAGATCTGTACTGTATCTGTCTTATAACCACATAACAATATAACATACACACACAATATTAAAATATATGATACTTGGTAAGGAGTGCTAATGGTAACCCTGCAAAATAGTTTTTTAAAAAAATGAAGGTCTGGGTTTTCATGAAAAAGGAATGAAAAAAACCAAAACAGCCTAACAACAGTTAAATAAACCTTCTGTCTTCATCTAACCCATGTAAGAACGATCTATCCTCTTCCCCCCAAGCTTTTTAGGCTACATAACCTCAAGCAAAAAGAATAAAAAGCAAATAAATTCTAGCATATACAATGTACAGTATCAAGCTGTCTCCTTTAAGTTTTCAACCATCACAAGTCAGTCAAAAGGCGTTTACCTGCCCGAGTGCGTTCCAATGGCGACCACCGCTCCACTGGGATGGAAGTCAGCACAGTGCCCCGGTTCCTGAACGGAGAGGCACAGACACGTCACTCACCCGCCCGCTTCCGCACCGCCAAACACCTCTCCTTACACCAGAGCTACCCTACACGTCCGAGGTGAACTGACACAGGAAAAACCAATCAGTCAGCAGAGTGCCTATCCAGCCTCAGACAGATTTTCTTTTGAAGTATCAGTGACATGCACCAGTTGACCTTCCTGAAAGTAGAAAGCCTAAATTTCTGTGTAAAAAGATACTTTTGCTTGGGTATTAGGACAGAACTTGATAAAATATGAAATGAACAATGATGGTAAGGAAGGACATTTAAAGCCAAACCTTGCACAACTGTGTGATATCCTCTTCAGATTGTTTGAATAATTGGGGAAAAAAGTTAAACTGTTACAAGAACAGAGGACTAAGTTTTATTCAGCTTGGATTGTCAGGATGGCATCAGACAACAGTAACCAGACTACAGTCTGCACAATGTCTGATGAGCCTGGGTAAGATTATCAAAGCTTCCAAACAGCTGTTTTTGGATCCATCACTACAGCATTTTTGCTTCTCTTGCAAACAGATGGGACAAGGGTGTTGCAGAAAACTAATGCTTTTTCTCCATTTCCAGATTTATATTTAACATTAAAGGGTTGACATACGTCTAGCAGCCTGGTCCATTCCAGTGTGTGGTCCACAGAGTTCCACATACAAACTTGCCTATCTTGGGCACATGTTAAAAATAAGTCTTTGAAAGGATGGGATGCCAGTCCCCAGAGCTCATCTGTATGTCCCTGGAAAGAAAACACATGATTTAACAATGAATAAAATAAAGACTCTCTTAAAATAATACACTTGCAGGGAAAGCCTTTACATTTTTGGGTTATAGTTTAAAAGAAAAAGTCGTACTCACCTGTACCTCTACCAGGAAACCATCGTTGAATGTTGCCCTCAAAACAAAGTTTCGTGAAGTACCCACTAAAAATTGATCTGCTTTTCCTTCCGCTACTGCTCTGATTGTTCCATACTGGTCAGGAACCTAGGAAAAGAAATATCTGTAAAACCACATCATGCATCTTGACAGACATTTATTTTTGAAGGCCACAAATAGCACACAATGACAGTACCAGAACTGCGGTTCTCCCAGTAAAAAGAACAATCTAATCATGCATACACTAGATCAGGACTTGACCTGACACCTACCTCATTTATTTATTTAGTACAAGCATACGAGAAGATCTCACTCCAAAACAATCACAGTTATGCCATTTTAATAAGTCTCCGCAGAAAAAATTACAAATTAAATTATATGGACTTTTAAGCGTGAAATACACTAAACAAATGCACTCCACAACCTTATCCTAGCTTATAAGAATAGGAATAATAAACAGTTACTGTTTACTCTTCAAAACACATTGTGAAAAATAAGAAAAATCTTGTTGCACACACTAAATGCTTCCTGATTATCCTTAAGAAAATGTTCATACGCCTTATGTCAGCAATGACTCCTAATTTTATTGAGTTTGTTTATTGCACTCTTGAATTCTAATACATTGCTTTATTTTACATTGTGCATTTGTTTGTTTTTCCAAACGATTTATCTTTAGAAAATACACTAATATTAGACACACAAGGTGGAAAATCAACGCAATCATTCAGAAAGTTGTCCGTCAGGGTTCTGGGAATATTTCTCAACATAAAAAAATAGCTTTAACATAACATTATTAACAAAAGGAAAACAGACACTGATATGGATAGAATGTTACTTAAGCCTAAGTATATGACAGTTTTATATAATAGTCATTGCTTGCTTACTCTCAGCCATGTTTTCTAAAGGTCAATATTATAGTCAAGGTAATAACAAACTCTAGATGGAACTAAACATACATGTTATGGAAAAAATACTCCTATAAATGGACACTAGGTAAGTGGAGTAAACCATTATTAGAGTAATTGTTTAAGAATGAAATCTCATATAGGCTCATTTATAGGCTGAAAATTTAAACACTTTTATAATACAACATTCTCATCTGCTCAAAAAGACAGCAACCAGAAGATACTCTATCACCCCAACTACTGACCTCCAATGGGTGGGAAGGGTTCTGTCTTGCTAGTCAGTACCTTGCTCAGTATAATTTCTTTTTCATTCTTGCTTTCTTACCTCAATTTCCCTTTCGGGATTCAAATCATGATCCCACAGGATGATCTTTCGGTCTTTCCCACCTCCAGTTAGTAGCATCCCATTCCTCATTTGACAGAGCGTGAACACGCTGCCATCGTGAGCTTTGATTTGTCTGCTTATCTGATATACTCCTACATGCAAAAGAAAATAATAAAGAATACTACTCGTTTTTTCACTTGGGGTTTACAAGAAGCTGTGCCTTTTGGCAGAAGAAGAAAGTAACAGTTTGATAAATAATTACATTTGGACTGTCACGCTATTAGTATTGCATTAGTATTGCAAACACAAGGTGGTAGTGTTTTCCTGCAGGATTAAAAGATAAAACAAAGGGCCTGCCTTTCTGAATAGAAACTTTTTTGAGATTGATCGTCCTACAACTTGTGAAGGAAAGAACAACTATTTGCAAAATGCTTTCCTTTCTCTTTTATCCAAGGGAACAGTTTTTCCAGATGCAAGAGAAACTGTCCTTTGGAGTCAATAAATATTTAGTACATCATGATTAGAAAAGAATTAAAGTTATTTTATTAAAAGAAACTCAAAGACTTGTTGCCTATAGTATTATGGGAATAAAAAGCACATTATTTATAGCAAAGTTTCCAGGATGCATGAACCTAGTATCTAATGCTGGATGTTGCCTCACTTAAAAACAGTATAACCAGCATTTAGCATCTATCAATATAGCAGTCTACCCAAAGGAAAAAACTAGGAAGAATGAAAGAGAGATGAGAAAATTAACAAGAGGTAGCGAAGGAAGACCTTTGCATCCTAATCAGGTCTTCATGTCAACAGAACTGCTGTAGAAAAGTTTATTTTTTAAAAGCAAGATTCTGGTGCTTTAAGACTTGCATATTTTCAAATAGCAGTCAAAGAGAAAGTCTAAAACACCACTCAAATAAGTATGAACTTAACTTTGCTGACTCTGCCTATGGCTCAAATCAGTTCAAGTCAGCATGCCCTCACACTCTGAAAGAGTTTGAGATCAAGTCCTGTGACCAGTCTTATGTGATAAACCAACTAAAAGATCCCAAACTTAATTAAGAAAATGTAAATGTTTTATTCAATATCTTTTGAGATTAGACTGGGAAAAGGTTATTTTTTGCATAAGAACTTCAAAATTAAGCATCAGATAATTTGTTAAATTACTTTTCCATTGCAGTTAGCTTGACAGACAACAAGATTTACCTACAAAAACAGACTTACCATTAAAAATTTACTTTTTACATGAATGTTTTCCTGGCATACCAATTTAAACCAGAGTGTTTGAAATAGCTGCCAAGTAAAATAAATTATCCTTGAATTTAAAAGTTACCTTAGGGCTCAACTGTGCCAGGTCTGCATATGTTGGGTAACAAATCTTTTTCCTTTCTTTTTTACAAAAGCTTTGCCCTAAAGAGTAAGTTTAACACAAATTTCAAAGAAGATGGCTTTTAAAGCATATTTTACAGTCAAGACTTGAATATCTGCTAAACCAGATACCGTTATTTGCATAACTGGTACAACTGAGCATTATATTTTTCCTTCACATACAGGTCCTATTAACATCAGCTTTCACACTTAATGGGGTTCCTCTGAGATTATGCATGGTACAACATACCCCTTAAGAGGCAAAGGTAGCCTGCAGAATATTCAAACTGATCCTACAGCCTTTTTCAAATCTCAGGATGAAAGGAAAGCTGATTAACTGCACATTTTTCTAAATGCAAAACATTTAGATAAAGTAGTTTTCATCCATTTCAGGCACAGTCCCATTAATTACTGAGTAACTCTAGATTGCTCTTAAGTCAGCAAATTCATGAGGCTTAAAGGAGTTTAGTACCACCTGTTAATAATAGGAAGTGTACACCCTTAGTCAGGCCTGCTTCTCTAACGCAATCCTTCATGTTTGCCTTCTATAGACTAACATATGTGATCAACTGTGAATGTATCCTACCTTTAGGTCCTTTTCCTGGAGTAGATTCTACAGTAGTTTTGCCCCATATAAGTATTATCCCACCTGAGTCTCCAGTGAGCACATCACCATTTCCCAAAAAAGCCAAACACTGAACAAATTTGGGTTTTTCATATTTCTGAAACAAAATAAGTAAAAGAAAGGGATAATTGCTTGTACTCTTTACATAATTAGTATAATGTATCCACACCCATACACCCTGCATACACAAGTCGAATTCAACCTTTTTTGTTTGTTTACCTCTCTGCTCAAACAGTACATGGATCAAATTTACTGAAAGCGTAAGCAGAATATTCTGTTGATTTTAAACTGACCTGATAACAAGACATTCTTACCCCAAATATCCCTTGCTTCCTTGATAATGAATTGCCACTCCAGGTCCAGAAAAATATATGAGATTTGCCACATGTTATTATGGTATTTGCATCAGTCGGATGGAATTCTACAGCAAGAACAACTTCATTTGTAGTCTGAAATAACAACACAATATTTTTTCAGATGGCACATTAACTACTGGAAAAACATGTAAAATCTCAAGTTTCAGAACAGAGATATGAAGAACCAGACAGCTCATTGTATACTTGAAAGAATCCCAAAGCGTTCCATGTGAAATCAACCGTCTGAACGACCACACGTATCATTTTTTATATATTGATTTTATATTCATAAGAGATCTTTATAAAACTTCAATAGAAAAGTCAGGATTTTACATTCACTTTTTAAATCACAAAAGCTTCTGCCCTATGGAATACCTAAGACTTTTCACATGGAAAGTGGGTGATATATAAAAGAAACTTTTGGGTTGAACACTCTGATTAGTTTTTATGCAGACTAGTTTGCTATTCTACATAAGAAAGCTGTGACAGAGGCAACTGAGGCAATGGTAACATAGTAGGATTATATCCATCATTCTCTTTCTGAAATTCTATACAAATTCTGTGGGGCTCAATTACTCTGGCTTCTTTCCTCCCCATAAAGAAGAGAAGCCTGCATAACTCAAATCTCTGAAATACAGGGTCCCATGCTAGTATTTTTTCGAACAGCATATATTTCTACCAAATTACCGACACCTCAGTGAGTATTTCATCCTTTAGCAATAGATTTTACAAACATAAACTGACTGGTCATTTATCTAACTTCAGAGACCAAACTGTCTCTGAATTCAACCTCCTGGAGGTAGTGACTTTAGAAAACATTTAATTAAATGCATCAACGCATTTACTTCTACGAGATTTAAGCCCATCCTTTAAAGGAGTGTATATAAAAGGGCTGCTGAATCAGCACCTGTGGGAATATCCTTTTCCACCTCACCATTTTTGGCTCACTTTAGGAAAACAACCTTCTTAAGTTTCATTTTTTGTTGATGGCCATATTTATTGGGACATATTGTATGATGGCCATATCGCATGAGAACTATGTTTCTCACATACAGTTTACTTCACACGAGCTACATCCACAAATTGTATGAAAACTAAGAACTGAAAAATTTAATGGAGTCCAGCTGGGAAAAGGCTTCTGTTCTGCACCCTAGCTCAAGGGATGAAACTGCTCTTACCACCTATCATGGATGGTGCTTGAGATACTGCAAGATCGAGTCCTAAACATGAATAAATACTGAAGGGCAAGCTGTCCCTGCCAAATTGTTTTTAGCCAATTCTGAAACACCAAGGACCTCCCTGGAGAGTGAAAATAGTCAAAACATAATGTCAATAAAATGGGAAATACAAGGCATATGCCAAATAGCTTCACATGAAATATCAACAGCGAAATTAAAATACTGACATAGAATTACATTAAAACTTACAGAATAGAATATAATTAGTATTGGCCAATATAATTTAAAGAAAATGGGTCAAACCAACACGTTATCTAAAATTTCAAGTTTGTAATCATATAGACATACATACTTGTAGAGTATTCCACTTCCTGATTCACGATTAAAAATAAAAAACACTCAGTACCACCTCCATGTAATACATCCTTGCTTGATATTGTATAACGTAAAGCAAGATGTCTCAAAATATGGACTTCATTAGTAAGTTATTATTGGATTGGGTGTTTCCAGAGGAATCAAATTTACATAAACATTGAGCGCAACACCTCTGAACGCTTGTCATCAATCAGAAATTTAGAAGGTTACTAAAGAAAGAGGAAAGCAGACAAGACTGCAATCTACAAAAGTACTAATGGACTTCAAGTGAGAAGAGACACATGTACTGAGTATCAAGGTCTGGAACTTGATTTAGACAAAAATTAAAATAAAGAATGTCTAAAAAAAATGTGGTTTTTTTTTTTTTTTTTTTTTTAATAAACAACCACAGACTGAATGATCACTTCAGTTTCTTGAAGTTCCCAGGATTTTTTTTTTTTTAATTAGGAAAATATTAGAGAATTGCTTTATTTGTGATTGCCTCTTATGGATGAGTAAACTGTAATTACAAGTGCTCCAATGTTCAAAACCTTTCCAATATAGAAGTTAATAATACATTTCTTTTGTGCCCTTACACAAGCCAGCAGTATGACACAGCTGAAGTCTCCAAGTAAGATCAAATGTGTGTGTCTCAAACTGTTGTATTAATGGGAATAAAACCAGTTGTATTTCAGCATATTAACTTGTTCAATAATTACCTTTATTTCTGCTATTTTTGATTTCCTCTGCCAATCCCACACAGTGAGCATATGCTCATTTGAGTCATCAATTACACACAAATGAGTACCAGAATCCTAAAGGAAAAAAAAAGAAGTGCTAACAAAGTACTGTCATACCACATTACAAAACAGGGCAGAGCAGTATTTTAAAAAAACACAAAGGTAGAAATATAAATTAAGCAAGTCCTTTTAAAGTAGCTATAAGCTTGATATATCTGGTATTTTCCTTTCCTCTTAAAGACAGCCATAGATTTTTGCATGATCTCAGAAAAAATAACCACACTGCAAATAATATCCTACAAAAGCTTTAAAAGCATCATACCAAGTTTGTCCCTTTTAGTTTGGTTTTGTTGTCTTTGTTTTTGCTTTCTTGTTTGCAATAGGATGCTAGTAGCAAAGAGATTTCTCCCTTTTTCTGTTCTGCAAGTGCTTTGGTTTTCCTTAGGTCTCAGAGGACAGACACGCTTGCATTTTTTTCTTAAATGTCACCATCACATACACACAACTTTACATTACTGAATTTTGTAAGCACATCTCATTTTTAGCTCATGGAGCATTAAGTATCAACAGTTTCGTTATGTAGTTAGTAAAACTGCAGAAAATGTAACACTTTCTGGATAAAATGTGTTTTAGAAAAGAACAGAAAGACTGGCATCGATGGCATCAAATAACTGAAGTGGCTTATTATGAACAATTTTACAACAAAATGGTAAATATGGCTATACGGAATTAAAAGAGCAGACAGAAAATCTTAGGACAAAAACATACTTATTCACAGCAACACACACTTGTACAAACCAGCTGTTTCAAGGACATGCGTAGAAAGATTTGGAGGAGGCCTTATTTTAAAGTTGATTCTTGCAGTTCAACTGCATTCTCTAACGAATTATGAAAATAGAGGTGGCTGAAATTTTTATTCCCAAATACTATTATGAGCAGTAATATGCAAATATACGTCAATTATTAAGCAGAAGGAAACTCTGAAGACAGCATTGGCGATATACACAGCTCTTGTGTGGGTTAATGAAATCATGTGGTTAAAAACACATTTCTAGATAACTGCGCATTTACTGTTTCTATCTAGTGAGGAATCATGCATGTGAGACTGTAATAAGGTACCAAAATCAGTTTCAGCTGCAAAACAGAACTAATAAAAACTAAAATGTAGTCCTCAAAAATTCATTTTTTTGTTTCATTTTTAAAAAGACAAAATGTACATTTATTAATCTTGAAAAAAAAAAAGTATCAGAGTTCAAAACTTTTATTGATTTGTTAGAGTGACAGAAATGACAGTACTCCTTTCATATTATTCTGTTTTATTTATGCTACCCCCGCTTTGTAAGAAAAAAAACCAGTAAAATTCTCTTATTTACTAAGGCAAAACCTAGATATAACTAACCTAGCAGCATTTCAATGTTAAGTGAAACTGCTGCAAGAGACTGTAAGCATTTCTTCCCAACAGGTCACCCAGTGATACCGCTGAGTCTCCATCATTGGAGATACCCAGAACTCAGCTGGACACTGCCCTGAGCAGCCTGCTCTGGCTGAGCCGCTGTCAGCAGCATGGTGCACGAGGTGATCTCCAGACCTCCTTTTTTTTTTTTTTTTTTTTTTTTTTTTTTTTTTTTTTTTTTAAACACACGTGTTAATTCTTCTTGTTGGGATGCAATAATCACAGACTGCATTTTCAGGAGGTCTGATGTCTCAGTGCTTTGGAGAAAATACAAAGGCAGCCTAAAGATTAAAATATACACATATTTTACAAAAAAAATAAACTCATTGCCAATTTTGAAGTGAGAACTTTATCAATGCCAAGTAGCACATCTCCATTTGCTACTGGTTTTTCTGATAAATTCTGTGGGCCCAGTAAGGACGACTTTTTTTTTTTTTCTTCTATGTAAAAGTAGAGGCACAAACTGAACAAATTATTCCTCAGGGAAAAAATAGTACAAGATAATGCTGTTGTTTCTTTTTTTTTTTTTAATTTCCTGTTGGTGTATAAAAACCTACTCCAGCCGTGCAAGCAGAAAAGTTACCCTTTCTATCAGAACTCATTAAAATTTGTCTTCACAAACCTCACCAACAAGCTTGTTTCTAACATCCAAACAAGAAACCAAGCCCCTTGCAAAAAAACCTACATCACCAAACCCAGCACGGACTTCAATTTCTAGTTAAGGTTCTTCTTGCCTGCTAGTTATTCACTGTGCTGTTTGTTACCGCAATTTTACATGTGCGATTTCCTGTTTTTCCAGCTAGCTTGCTGTCAGCCGGTTTTATAAAGTATACATAAACTTTAGCGACACACTTTTAATACCAAAACAGATTGGCTAGATGACCACATACAAAATGTCCAGAGATTTCCTTCCTCTTTACATAGGACTGGGTGAATTATTTAACACATCAAGTAATCGCACCCGCCTTACCGCTTTTGAGAAATCCAAACACCCCACTCCACGCTCAAAAGTCCCGAGGCCGATAACCTGCAGCGTCACCAGGCTCACCGAGTCCCATACTCTAACATGGGGCTGCAGAGGCTGTGTGAAAAAGCAACGGGACAAACAGCGTCATCAACAGTGAAAGCATCACGTGCAGGTGCACAGTTTGGTGAAGCAGGTGCTACCTGAGTGACAAACTGCAGACAGAAATGCAGGATGACCTGTGCTAATGGTGCTGCTGGATAGTATCTTGAAGTTCAAAAGGTGAGAGTCAAGACAATCTTGCTTCCTGTGTCTGGGCTACAAACATGGCAGAGGTGCCATCAAGGTGGGAAATTCAGTATTGTGGCATTTGGTAGTTGTGAAAACATAATCTTTACCCAATTAATGTCATTGAACAAATAATGGAAGAGTCATCTTGCATTTCAGACCGCAGACCTAGCAATCCTATGTAACAACTGAAAATAATGATCAAACCTTGGTTTTTTTAATATATAAAGTAGGAAAAAAATAAAATAAAAAAAATAAACTTTGGTGCACCAAGTCCCCTAACCATCACCAACCACTCAGTTAAAATGCCCATGGTTATATTTCACACAAGTACTATCCCAAACCAGCTTAGCTTCATAAATGTGAAGCAATCATAAATAAAGTGGGAATTAAGCTGGTTCAAGGACAGCATTCACCATAGAAAATGACAGTAAATCATCCCACTGATGGAAAAACAAACCAATCAGCCCTAACAAATGAGTCAACAAATGCTCAGTGGAAATCATAATAACATCTATACAAAAAAACCCCACATCAACTTCTTACAACATCTAAGAAATTAAGCTGAAGATCTGAATAAGGGTTATAGTTAACATACTTCTACACCTCATAGTATCTGTCTTCTTCTCCTCTCCCCCCCCCTTTTTTTTTTCTGCCTGTAACTTTATGAAGAAAATCCAATTATTCGAATTCTGGCAGTTTGCCAAGAGCCAGGGACAAGAGCATTTAAATGCAGTTGCTCTCAAATGAGCAAGCTTGTAGGAAAGCTTGACACACCTTCCATGAATTCTCAAAGTTGCTTTCCTCTTCCATGAAGCCTTAAGAGTACACTGACCCACAGAACTGGGAACTTGCTCTCCTCTGGGAGGGAGGAGTCTTATTGAAAGAAATGTGACAGAAATTATGTGGCCTTATAAATCAATTACAAGCTTCACATTTGTTTGCAGAATTAAAATTGAGTTTCCTATGTCACACTTAAAGGACTTTATGAGCTTCTGCTCTTCTTCATGATGGCTGAGTGCTTAGTTGTTATTGTCTTTTGCTAGAGATATAGGCTGTTACCTTAGAAACAGCAAAATATCTCAGTAAATGCATTGCATAAAATAAACTGCAAACAGAAGGTGATGATGAGATTAAAAAAAAAAAAAAAAACAAACACTTTTTCCTGATTTTCAAAACAAGATACTACTGCTCAACAGCTCTATTACTTACCCTTCCATCTTTATCCACTCCAGCTAACTGTCCTGTTGCAATTCTAATTTTGTCTGGATGAACTGCAAGACTAAGACAGACAGAAATATGACTTGCTTTTGCTGTCATAGGTCTTCAAAACTGAGAGGTTTTTTGTAATGTTTTTGTTTTGTTTTGTTTTGTTTTTTCCTTTCTCAACAGAAGCCCATGAAGACACTTACGATCCTAAATCCCACTTTTAATGAGACAGCTCGAATGGTTTTCGTCAGACTATTTCATTACACACTGTACTGAGGTTCCTGTGATGGCTGCTGGCACACAACCAGGAGTGCCAGAAGAGCCACCTCCACGTGTGCTCTGACAAATCGAAGGTTTCGGGAGTCTGCTGTAACACAATACACATTGTCTCATGATGAACTTCCTACACATGGTTATGTGCCATATTTATAAACACTACAGCATATTTTATGCCTAAACCTACAGATAGCATGAACCTAGGGAAAAGACAGCTGAAAAGTTGGCTGAGGGCTTGTGCACCCAGGAGTCAGGGATTACTGCCACTTGAAATGAATTACTGATGTAATTGTACTAATGAAGTTCTCCCGTATGGTGCACTGCTAGTGTGTGTAAGTAAAAATCTGCTTCTGCTTATCACATTTTGCTTTGGAGCTGGTGTGAAAACACACATTTCAGAGTACGCATCCTCTTAGACCTAGTGATTTTTTGACTGACCTTCTTATTTGCTTTCTCTGTAAAATTACAAAGGTGAAGAAAGACATTGAAACAGGAAAGGTGGAGCAGGGGACTGACTGAAGAGGTCAGAATGACAGACACCAAACACATTTACAGCTCAAGCCAGTTTTCTGAATGAAAGGGAAGAACACAAGACTGACAGCATTCCTCCCACAGGAAGCAATTACAGTTATATTAAAGCACAGCCAGGAGAAAAGAGGTTTAGATGACAAGTATTATCCATTCAGGTACAGTAGGGAGCTTACGTTCGCCATTACGTTATGTGTTCTACTCTTCAGACTAACATCGTAAAATCAGCAACTGCCTTTGCAATCCCAATGACATCGGCTTTAATTTCCCTCCTTCTCTCTTTTGTTTTGCAAACATTTTTCTGATTTCCCAGACAGTCTTAGTACTTGGATTGGGCATTTATTAAAATATTAGAAAATTATTGCTCAGGTTTCCATTTAGTTTTCTAATTCTCCTTGCAGACTATGCTTTTGCCACTCTGCCTGTAAATCACTGATTTAGACTTAGGTTGACAATTTTTAATTTCTGGGACATCTATTTAGAATAATTTAGGCAAAGTTCCTTTCTCTAATCTGACACTCAGATTGTCTACATATCCCGCTGTTTTACAAATAAGCCAGAAATCCTAAACTAGCATGGACTGCTCTAGCACCATTCATTTGTTCAGTGTTTACTACAGTGAAATCTACTGGGACTGATGAAACAGAAACTAACTAGAATTATGATGACATTAATGAGCTCATACATACAGTAGGACAGAATAAAAGAATACATTTCTGCATTATGACACACATACTTACACGCAAATGTTATATACTAACCATTTAACACAGTCTGTATGACCCAAGTAGTGTCGTTGAGTTCTCTCCTCATAGTTAAATAGTACCACCACTGATGCTATGAAATATACAATTTCTCCCGTAGGAAGGAGGTAAACATTGGCTCGACAGTCTCTTCCACGATACCCATATCTATACATATATTTTTTTTTTTTTAAGTCAAGGTTTTTATAATCAGTGCATACCAGAAAAGAAAAAAAAAAACAAAACAAAACAAAACAAAACAAACAAAAACAAACCAACACATTGACTTTTTTTTCTTAAAGTTTTCCTGGGGAGCTCTCATGCCTCCCAGGAAATGTCCTTTATGTTTTTCCTCTGGAACTATTGCACAGTTTCAGTAACACAGTTTAACACAAACCAAAGCAAACCCAACCCCATACAATTGGATTTCAGGAAACCAAATCCCTCCAAAAAGTGATGCTCATTGATGTTAAAAATAAAATATGTAAGGCACACTGAAGTAAAACAAATACAGTGTTGTCATTTTATAAAAACCTTCATGTGAAGTTTCATTAGGTAACAGCAGGACTCACTGTTCTGATTTAACATTTTTTACAGCAACAGAATTGTACATCTGCACCCTGGGCACCAGAGTATTACTTTCATTTGGCCTTTTAAAAACAAGCGTGCGAAAATTCCTCATGCTCTTCAGAAAAAGGCAAGCTTCTGCACAGCAGCTGCCAAGTTCAGGAAATATTTCTTTAGACTGTTTTAGAATATTTTTAAACCAAACAAAACTCAAAAGGAAATGACACAGTGAAAAATACTGTATCCAAATCTACCCAAAATATATAAAAGGGATGATTTTTGTAAGAAAGCTGCATGACTCCTAATGACATTCATAAGTTTTATACACTGCGAACCAGCCTTGGTTAGGACTGATCAAATGTAATTACAATTCATTATTTCTTTGAAACAGGTACAATTTTCTTCATCTAGACTATTCATGTGGCTGGCTGCCTGTATTTCAGTTCCCAGGGTCACTAGGTACAATTAGCATCATAACTCAGACTTTAACAGTAGCTCTGTAGCCTCAAAGAATATAATTTTCCTGTTATGCCCTGAACTTTAGAGAGCTCTCCACTTCAGTGGCAACTAATACACCTGCAACAGCAAGGAAAATATGGGAAATACATTAAGCAACTTTAGATAAAAGAATTCCAGCTTTAGGTCCTGGTTAATCAGGTGAATAAAAAAGACGTCAAAGACCCACATGGAGAAAGCTGGATGGATGAAGCTGGCCCTTTCTCATAAATGAAAGCAGGTGCAGTAGTCCAAGTCTGGGAGTATCTACACTGACATCTCCTAAACTGACAGCCTGGCCTCTATTCTTCTTGGGAAAGGGCTACCCTTTTCTACCAAAAATCCAACCACACCACCTTTCCTCTTTTGCAGTCCCATCAAACCACAGGACTGGTAAACCACAGGAACACTTGCAAAATTAAACACACACTGTAACTAAACAATGGTTCAAAGAGGGACACTGCGTTGTCAAATCTCCAAAGAGTATGGAAAACAAAACAGATTTATATCTTGCTGTATTCCAATTATTGCAGAAGAACCCAATGGCTCCTCTGAAGCAGAGATTATTCACTGGCTTGCTTAGCAAATGATATTGAGAGAAAAGCTGATACAACACAATGCCGAGGGCAGAAAAAAAAGGGATTGCCTCTGTTTCTTCTCCATCACTATTAACTTTCCCACTAAATTTGCCTCTTTCTTCTTCTTTTAAACACTGATGGAACAAAAAGAAATTCCAGAATGGCCTTTTATAAACAAAAACAAACCAAATCAAAACAACCAGACTCTGAAAAACGATGGGCTACAAACCAATGAAAATATTTTTTCTATCCTGAAGCATGAAGAACACTATTCTAAATACCTTCTCAGAAGAGAAAGGCAGATCTTGTTAATCTGCTGTATACAGTAGGGAGTGTATTGGTAAGGATTTAGTAAGATTGACATCTTTGAACATTCATCCTAGAAAAGTATTAATAATTTATACAAACACGCCTTTCCATGGCAGAATTCTACCATGCAAAGCTAAGGCTAAATATTTTGGCACCCACCACTGAGCTCTGGCATTCATGAGGCTGCAAAAAATGGTTACATTTTCTCAGACTATTCCTTTCTTTTACACCTCCTACATAATAAAGTACCAAAGAGCATCTGCATTTTCTAGGAGCATTTTTTAGGAGCATGTAAAGGAACAACCTGTTTTGTGGAAGAAATTTTTTGTTTTTTCATTCTCCATCTCAGACTACCTTGAGAGAAAATGAGAGGTGTTGTTGCTCCACATGGGTTCTTTCCTTCTCCACACAATCAGACCAACAGAGCAGATATGTTAATGCAATAATTGACTACCTTTGCGGAAAAGAGGGGTGACAACTTTGATGCTTAATTTCCACTAAATTTCAGTGTTAATCTTTCAGTGAGACTGATGTTTCAACCACGGAGATTCAGATAGCTGTTTTCACATTGTGAATGTTTCTCACCCATTCCAAGGACTGTTTTGTCACATTTGATATGTTGAACTGCTTTTAGTGGGTTTTTTTGTTTGTTTGTTTTTAATTGGCTAAGATGAGCCATGGCCCTCATGAAAAGCAATCCACTGTACACCAGAATTCAATAGTATATTTACCGCTGGCTTCAAATATTCTTAGAAAGAAAAGCACCAGTGCTAAAACTAATCTTATAAAACAGAGTAAGAAATACCCTCAAGAAACTGAGCCACTATACATTGGGAGAAAGAGTCTATAAGTCACTGCCTGTCAACAGCAGCACTGACTGTGACCTCTGTAGCTGTTAAGTAAGCCCATTTTGATATTACTAAGAATGTCAGATATACTTTAACCAGTTCTGAAGTGCAGTACGAAAGATTGCACTACAAAGCAGGGATACCCAAACTAAATTATTTAATTTACATGAAATCACTCAGGAACCAGACACAGTCAAGAGCTCAGACTTCCACACGAGCTACTTTATCTTGCCAAGCAGCTTAAGTATTTCTTCAATTGACAGTAATCTGCAGAGCAGACAAAAGCTATGTGTGTTGTGTTGAATCTACAGTACTGGGTATCAGTAGCTGAATATACCTGCAGGACATAGTTCATCTAAAAAGGACAACCCCCTCCCAAACCAATAAACAACTGAAAAAATTCAACCCCAAGAACCTTCCTGTTCTTGCCTTGAAGTTGTTCATAGTTGATCAGCATCTTCCAAAACAATAACACCAAAGGAAAACCCAATCATAAACAAGAATACGGAAGGCAGGAGAATCAAAGGCGTTCAAAACAAAACTTACAGATTGAACAATTCAACACTCAATTGAGATTTGAGTTGCTAAACACTGACATTACTAAATGTGAACCACTGTCCCTGTCTTTTTAATAAGATGCACAGGCTTCAGTTTGCCATCATATCTGGCAGTTATGACTGGCTTGCAGATTTCTTCCCATTGCTAGACCTGTGCATGAAGTACACTATCTTCTGCTATATCTTCCCTGTCTCCAAACCAGAAGAGTAATTTTGTGCAACTTCATAGAGACCAATATTAAGCCTTCATAAATTTTACTGCCTTTTCCTCAATGTTTTCTTCACCACTGTATCCAAAAGATACCTTACACTCAAAAATATACTGGTCTGATTTAGGATAACATTTCCTTAAACAGATTCCAAAAACACATGGACAGTCTGTTTAGACTAGATTAATTTCACTTTAATTAGCCGGCATCAGGAAACTGGTTTAACCTGAACTTAGGGTCCTTGGACATTAAATAAGTGTGTCCACACTGGGATTTGAACCTACTTAACTGAGGGTGTGATTTCATGATCAGTTTTCATCAGTCCAAACTGCTCACTGCTGCTGAAAAAGTAGATCTGATCTTCCTCCAGTATGCCAGTTCTAGCTGTTGCATGTTTGTGGGGCAAATCAAATTAATGAGTTGTTCCTGATGAAAGTTAACTCTGCAAAAAAAATTACATTTCAGCCAGATCAGTGACCCAATTCACTCCACAATCATAGGAGAGCCAGAATCAGCACTCAAGAGCTGTGGCAGTAGAAAAGCTGTTCTCCTTCAGTCAGACTTTTAATCCAAAAGTTTCCTCCTTTATGGTCTAAGCTTCCACAATCTCACCAAAAAGTTCAGAGAACATGAGCTCCACAGCTGCTCTTCATAACCAAGTACCCAATATTACCTGTTTCAAACATCTATTAGTTAATAAAGGCAGGAAAAATTAATAAGAAAAATCTTTCCTAAAACAAGTAACAAGGGGTAGCTTAAAATATATGTGTGCCTTAAGCCACTAACAAATATGCTGACAGAGGTATGGGCAGTCTCTGTCTGTACTACCTTGACATATGACAGCGTACCGTCAACATTCCTAAAAATCTTCCTGCTTTCAGCAACATCAGAAGGATCAAACTTGAGATTATTACACCAACTCAAGTGCTGCCTAGACATGCTATTTACTGAGGTGCTAAGAAACTTACTTATGCAAGCAGAGCTTACTGGAAGAATCTGCAGAGAAGGAGGGATGGCAGGAAGACTCAAATGTGTGCAAAAGCATGTCTCTTACAATGAACTTAATGTCTGATCTGCTAAGCCTGCAGACTTATTGTCAGCCACACACCAATTCAATTCTTCAAATGGTAAATTTACTTAGTGTGTTTAATGCAAACTAGTCTCCAAGAAATTAAACCTTTTACTTTGGAGCTGAAACACACCAGCAGTGCAAAGGATGGCTCCTTATGAAATCCTTGCTCTGTAGGTAAGGACGAGATACTCAAGATCTTCCATAGCTCTAACATCTCCTAAAAATGAGCAGAGATTGAAAACTAATGATGTTCCTGAACCCAAAGCCACCATTAATAAAGTAGGGGACGGAGTGTGATATTTCTGCAACTCTGTAGCTCTCCAAAGACACTTTTTTTTCACACTAAAAATAAATTGCAGTTTCAACAGCAAAACAAAGAAAAAACTTGGCTTTTCTGTGCCTACATATTTTGCAGCTCAAAGTCATACTATACAGTAGCTACAAACTATTTCAATTGTTATATTAGATTGAACTTTTTTTCCCCACTCTTAAATGATCTTTATCCTCTGAACAGAGAATTCACAAGACCAGATTCTAAGGAAAAAAAAAAAAAAAAAAAAAAAGGCAAGATATGGCAAAAAGGGAACAGCAAGTATTTACTGATATCAAGGATACACCCACTCCAGTTTTAACTTCTCAGGAGGCAGCTCTGTCCTAATATCATCATAGTTTTCTACGTCAGAAGGAATGAACATTGTGATTGGTCGACCCCGCATGAACATCTTGATATACTCTCCCTCTGTTGAAACAAAAAAGCGTATTAACCACGTGGCAAGTCAACACACAAAATAAGCACGAAAGAAACCAGTAATAAGCACACAGATGCAAATAACACTTGTGATATAACAATTATTTTTGAAATGAGAGCTTGGTAAAGACCCAGACTTTATTTTTTTAAAAAACAGAAGACTGAAACACACACGCGCGCACAGACAGACAGAGTAAGCGTTAGTTTAATTCGTGATAGAACAGACTGAGCATGTAACATTTTAGACATGCAAATTAAATTACAAAGGCAAATTTCAAATTCAAATTAAAATCTGAAATTGGATAAAGAAGTAGTCATAGAACCACAGGACAGGGTATTTCAGGTTGAAGGGGACAACAGAAAGTCTTTAAGTCCAACCTCTGGGTCAAAGCGGGCTCAGCCATGAGGTCAGACTAGGTTGCTCAGGGTTTTGCCTAGTCCAGTCTTGAAAACCTCTAAGGATGGAGATGGTACAACCTCTCTTGGCACCTGGCTGTCTGCCAGCACCCCCAGGGCCTTTCCCACACAGCTGCTCCCTGAAGCCCCTCCATCCCCAGCCTGCATCCCTGCCAGCGGCTCTTCTTTCCCCCTGATGCAGGACTTGACATTTGTCCTTGCTTAATTTTGTGAGGCTCCTGCAAGCCCATCCCTCCAGCCTGCCCAGGTACCCCTGGTTGGCAGCTTTACCCTCCAGCATACCAACTGGGCTCCCTGGTCTGTTGTCATCTGCAAACTGGAGTGCATACTGTGTTGCCTTCTCCAAGTCATTGCTAAAGATGTTAAACAGGACAGGTCCAGGACAGACCCCTTCAGACTCCACTTCTTACCTACTGGCCATCAGGTAGAGTATGACCCATCAATTATAATGCTCTTGAGGCCAATCATCCAACTGGTTTTTTTACCCACCCTGCTCCCTGCTATCCCAACCATAATGGCCAAGCTAAGACTCAAGGGTACTGCAGGAAAAAGTGTCAAAAGTTTTGCTGAGGAATATAATCTGAAATTATATATCATCACTAACTAATACACTAACATGAATTATTAATTTATTGGAATAATTCCAATTGCATGCTATTGCATAATGCATCATATCCTGAAGAACGGAAAGCAACAGCTCCTAATGACTCCAGCTATAACACTGTTGTCTATAGCTGTGACAAAATAAATGCATATCTCTTGCTGGGGCATCTGAGCACTTCACAAACCTTTAGTAATTCCTTTCCAAGGAACATGAGATTATTTTCCAGGGGAAATTAATTACAGAGTAATGTGTTTTAGTCAAGCACATTAGCTAGTCATTGAAGGGTGCCCTACAGAAGTCTCCCCTTCACACTATGACAATAATAATTTTCTAACTTCAGAAGACCAGAAAAGTCCTTGGAGACTTTAAAAATCCTTTATGCCCTACCCACACAGCAAAACCAGCACTGTTGTGTTGTTTAACTATGGTTAAATGAGGCCTCAAATCCACCAGATTTAACGCCAGCCTCCAGTTCTGCTGACAGAGGAGTTTCATTTCAAAAAGCACTGATGACTAAGACCCAAGTATTTCACTAATTTTGCATCAGTGAGTGGCAACTTTTTATCATTCTTCAACTTCTTTAGTAATTAGTATCCATTGTTAATGTAATTAATGTCACAAACCCAAAGTAATATTAATCTAAACTCTGATATTTTTTATGAGTAGGATTTGAAAATCACAGCAGACAGAGGGAATTCTCAAGTTTCAAACCAAAATATGAATAGTTGAGTAGGACTGGAGTAGAAGGATAGCTGTGAATTAGCAGCAGAGTATTAAGAAATCTCTAATTGCGTTTGACGCAACCAATACCGAGCTCTAAAATGAAGATCTTTAAACAATTACTTTTGTGTTTCTTTCAAAAGACAAACATGAGACAGACTCTCCTGTAAATGCCCAGGGAATGCTTGTAAATATTTACCCAATTAAGCATAAGATTATTATTCTGACTGCATGAATGTGCAATCTATGTTTTGCATTCCCTAAAACATCTAAAATTGAAATTATGAGAAACTCAGACTTATCCTCACAGAATTATAGCTTAATAGCTCAAGTCAAACTTGGAGAACTAAAAACGTAAGAGGAAACAGATCATTTCAGTGACAGCAGAAGCAATGTAGACTCCAAAACAGTCTCTTGCGTACAGAAACATTTTAGAAGATGCAAAGATCAAGAAATAAAGTTGTGAGCAAGGCCAACCTTAAGCAAGGGTCTCTACCCTTCTCTGAATCTGAAATACCCCTAGTATATAGACTGCAGGAACATACTCTGTATTACTGCAGTCAGAAGAGAAGGATAAAGGTAAAACTTGTAACTACTTTCATACATCAGCGATATAAAGCAGTATTGCACAAAGTTTGGAAATGAGGTCTTCTACAGCTAGACAAGACAGAAGACTTACAATCATCAGTCTAATGAAAAAATGTGATGAATATGCTAGGGTATTTAAAAGTAGTATTTCTGATCATAGAGGATTTTATCAGAGTTGTGTGAAATTCTGGGGAATACCACACCAGTTTTGAAAACCCTGGAAAGCACGAGCTTTGAATACAGCAGTGATGATCCTAGCACACACCAATGACTTGGACAGCACTGACACATACAGGAAAAATCTATGGTAACCAAATCATGTACTACATTCAGTAACTCCTAGTCAGAGGAAGAACTACTCATGAGCTTGTGTGGTTTTAACATCACTTGTCACAGCATTTCTCAAACTTAACTACGTCAATGAATCCACATACCTGAACATAAGCTAGTTACAAGGATTCTGCTACATGCATGATACTCACTTTGAAGATTTCACAATGCATATAGCTTAATTTGTCAAAAATTTTCATTTTTCCTCTTAACATACTGTAATTTGATTTCTTATTGCTTAACAGTTTTAACTTTTTTATTGTAATTGTTTGATGAAACACATCACAGTTTATCAAATTTACCAAGTTCCCAGACTTAAAAGATATGATTAGCATGGCTCCTTTTCTACTTTTAGTGTGTGCAAATCAACCTCCTGAGATCAAGAACTCATTTTACTTGAATTGTGTTGCTTTTGACCCTGGTAGTAGGTTTAGTCTACGCTGGAGCAAGAGAAGGGAATTTTCCTATGACAGTCCAAATACAACTGAAATCTAGTACAAACAAAACCCCACAAGCTCAAAAAAAAAAATCCTGTACAGAAACCATAAGAATTGAGCAATGTAAAACTAACACATGCATACATGTTTTTCCTTATTTAGAATATTAATACAATGAAAGTTGAGCCATTTAAGTCCAGTATCAAAGGAACAAATACCAAGAAGATGAAAAACTGTTGTCCCACTTCTAAGAACAAACACAGCTCCATGAGTCCATCCACTAACAGTAGAAAACTCGCCTCAGATCAAATACCAAAGAACAAAGAAAATCACTTCCAGTAGCTAAATTAGAAATAACTATCATTTTATTAAATGTGCATTGCGTAATTGCATTGCTGAGAACAGCTAAAGTTCGGTGTTGTCACTGGTTTGACACAAATGTTTAGATAATTACTCCAAACTAGTAATGTCTTATTTTTCCACTGAAATATCTTTTTTTATAGTATGTGTTTTACAGAGATAAAATAACACTGTCCAAATCAAGAGAAATGTATTAATAACAACCTTTTTATTAAAATCTAGCACTTGCAGTCTTGGAAATTCAAACACAGCATAGCCTGAGGGTATTTTAAAAAGACCATTTGCTTGTGCGAGTCAAATTCTTAACACTGAGCTTGGCACTTCTGGTTCCACAAGATCAGTGCAAAATGGCACCACAAATTTTGGATCAAATTTCTCATCACTGCTTAGAACAGTGGAGACAAGCTGCAACTGAAATTCATATGGATGGAGGCAGTTGCACCTGTCAGACTATGCAGCAGAAACAGATCATAGAAACATAGGTTGGAAAAGACCTTTAAGATCCTTGAGTCCAACCATTAACCTAACACTGCCAAGTCAACCACTAAACCATGTCCCTAAGTGCCACATCTACAGGACTTTTAAATACCTCCAGGGATGGTGACTCAACCACTTCCCTGGGCATTGTTCCAATGCTTGACAACCCTTTAGGTGAAGAAACTTTTCCTAATATCCAATCTAAACCTCCCCTGGCACAAGAGGAATTCAGTCAGGTCCTTGGCCAGAAAAGAGGCTCTCCTAGAGCTCAGGGAAAAGAGTACCTGCACGGCATTCAGCTACAAATTAGCTCTCTGAACTTCCCCATTAAAGAAAGAACATTTTTTGCTTTTATTAGCTAGCTGCATGTTATTCAAGATTACCTTTGAAGATACACATTTAACACGCTTGTTAGAGAGACATAGGCTAGGTATAACTTGATCAAGACTCTCTCTACAGAAGAGGGAAGGATAAAAAAAAGAAACAACCCACTGAAAGATTTTTTGACTGACTGTAAATTTCCTTTCGTCAAAAGAACCTGTAGGGCAGATAGAATATTAATGTAAAAATCTTTTGAAATAATAAAGAGGATGGCACCATATCAACAAAACCATTCTCAAACAACTAATTGCCTGAGGCCAAATTCTTGTATTTGCAAGTTAAGATTTAACTCTTCCACAGCATACCGGCTCAACTGAATGGTCAAAAACATTGGACTGCTTCTTTCCTGCATTCTCACTATTTCCAGGTACAAAGCAGCATGTCAAGACTTTTTTCCCCCTCAGATGATCTTCTGGAAGAGCAGAGCCTTGGTCATCTCTTAGCAGATATGTAGGCAAGGGGATTTAGAAGTTTTAAAGGAGGGAGGGAAGCTAACAAACAAAAGATCCTCTACAGTTCTGGTATATACCAGCCTGAAAACAGTAGGTATGAAAATAAAAATTCTCTGTCCCATATAAAGAGATGTTCAGACCCCACTACCCTTCGTGCAGAAGCACTTGGGGGTAGGGATTGGGGGGGAAGGGGCAGGAGGGCATCCCTTAAAGGACCTTAGTGCT